TGACTTGAAAGCATCCCTTTTTCCTGAGTTGAGTAGATTTGTCTTTCTAATGGGGACTCTAAAAAGTTACGTAGATCTAGGTTTCCACCACTTCCTCCTCTGCTGCTTGAAAAGATATGTACTGGTCCTACCTTTCTTCCCACCTCAGCCTCACTCTCCACTTTGGAAGTAAGATTTTGTTCCCAGTCTAGACTAGAACAGACAAGGCAGCAAAAGGGATGCAGGAGGCCAAGGAAAACCTCTCTGTCTTGTTGGGCAGAAGCTGGCCCAAGGGCCAGGCTGATCTTCTGACACACAGAGGTCCCCCCGACACACTTTCAGGAGCTGACTTTTCAGATCCTTAAACGTGGCATTATTCTTCTGGAAACAGTCCAAGAGACCTGGTTAACATTTTAAAAAAGTGTTTTCCTAAGGATAAAGGGGGAGTTGGGCAGGAGATGAGGGGGTAAAGAATTACACAAAGATTTAGTCTAACGGCTTAAAAATCAAGAGGATCATTGGACAGATAGATATCAAGTGTAATAGGAAACACACTGATCGTGGGGAGATGACTTAATATGGGCCCTCCAGCCTCCTTGGAGCTTAAACAATTATCTACAATTTGGAATTATACTTTAAATTCCCACATCCATGTGTGTTCTGGATCCATTTCTCAGGACACAGCCAGCAATCTTGAGTTATCTAAACCAGGCTGAAAATTAGGAGCCATTAATAGCATCTCATAAAATTGCTTCTCAGATTTTCTTTAGCAGAATATGCTGAGGACCATGGGGATTCAGTGATAGGAAGGAGCAAAACGCTGCTAGTTATTTTTCCAAAGCCTAATCTAGGGATCTTTTTGAAGAGCTCCTTACCCAACAATGATATGAAAGCCAAGACCAATACAGACTGTGTTTTTCCCACTTAGAAGCGGTGACCAGGTACATCATCCATGAAGAGAAGTTTCTTGGGGTTCCCAGAGGTGAATCTCTCAGTCAGTTTGCTACGTCCTTGTCCAAAAACTTCCCAGGCATTGTAGACTGAAAACTACAGGGCAATTTGGCCCATGAAGCTCCAATTTAATATACCTTCTTTTTCTTGTATTAGCTTATAAGCTGCTGAGGTCCATGACCAAAGACTTCCTTCTGTTGCTTTTTACAAATGAAACAAAACCCCGAGGACATATTCTGAGTGCTTCCCTGTTCTTTCCAGAGCCCAGAGCCTTTGCATAGGGGCTAGAAAGGTCTTCACATTGAGCAGCAGACATTCCAAGGGTCAAACTCCTGTGTCTAACTCCAGGGTCTAACTCCTGGCCCAATAGGTCAGGGTCAATTCATCTTGGATTTGCCAGAGGAGAGACACAGGAGACTGAGTAGGGAAGCCTCTGCTCTCAGATCGACTGGGAAGGATAAACCCACAAGCTGGCACTAATTAAGAGCTAATGGCCTTACAATGGAGCATTGCCAAAGGATAACGACCCTCCGGCTGCAGCATAAATATTGAGGCATTTGGGGCAGGGCCAAGACATATATTTTCAGAGTACATTAGACACTGCAGCAGCCTTCCTCACACTGGCTGTGCTGAGAAAAGCGAGGGCAATTCAGACAGGTGGGTAAGGAGCTAGGTCTGCCTTCTGCTCTGCTGTTTAGAGAGCCCCAGGGTAAGTTTTGGGAAAGACTTTGCTTTTTAAACCTCCAACTTCTTTGTATACAAGGATCTCTTTAAGAGCTGGTTACAATGTCCATTCTCTGCCCCCACCCTGCCCCGCAGAGGTTCTGATTTCAACAGTTCTGCAGTGGAACCCAGGAGTCTGCATTTTTAACTAGTTTCCCAAGTCCTGCTGATTCTGGTTATCCTGAGACCACACTTTGAAATGTGCTACTGTCAAACCTACTGCTATTTGCCCATTAGAGCCCAGTGAAAAAGTTGCTGCAGAATAAAGTGAGATAGACGTTCTCTGCTTCTTATGAAAACACCATTCTTTCCTATTGGAACTTGGCACAGACTTTTCAGAAAGGTGGCATTTCCAGCCACTTCCTGTTGGGGGCTTTCTCTTCACACAAACCTGTGGTTAATAGGAGCAAGACTGCAGGCAGTAAGGAGCTAGACAGGGGTCTGGAGGGAAGCATCCTCTCTGCATGGCGTTTCATGTCTACAACGATTTCATGTACTGAATTCATATGTTCGCACTGCAATCTTTCAGAGTGAATATGTCTGTTTCAAAGCAGAGGAATTGAAGACCTGAAGGCATGTTCTGCTTGCTTTGGTCACTGCGCCATCAGGAAGATGAGAGAAAAGCAGTCACTGAATTACAATTGTGGTAAGCAGGGCAGACGAACCAAACTTTAGCTTGACTGACCTTGATCAGATTTATTATTGACAGGTAGAACTGAGGTTGGTTGTTAGAATCAGCAAATACTGTTATAAAAAGGATTGATGGCTCAGATTATAAAAATAGATGGAAAGCTCATAAGATAAACGCAAACTGAGTAGAACAGGAGAGAAACAACACACCATATCATCTGGGAAAATGAAACTCCTTGGCAAGACTTCACAACAGCCTGATTCAAAATTTCATAATGAAATTATGTCCCTGATCAAAGCCTGAATGAGCTCATAGGCTGATTTTTGCCATTCGTGTTTATTCTGGTTTGAACCAAATTGAGGCATCAGAAACATATTATCCTAGTCTTCTCTGTGGGAGTGGGCTATTGCACCGTCATTTGGAGGGGCCAAAGAGACAGTGTGAGGCTGAAAGGGGACATCTTTGGAGTCTCACTGGACATGAAGTTGCTTCTAATCAGCTCCCAGAAACTCCTCCAATACCATGTGGGCTCAGGGCCTTTCTAGCTAAGTTGTGCTTAATCTCATGACACTTGGCCATTGGGGTGAAAAAAAAAAGTGAATCTCAAGAGAGAGAAGATATTTCCCCTTCTTGTCTAGGACATGCCTGCTTTTGCTCTAGAAAGAATGTTTTGGGGTTTGTTTGTTTTAGACTCAAAGAAGTAAGGACTCAATCATCCCTCCACAATTAGAGCACCTTACTTTCTACCCAGTTGTTTGTTTTTACAGGATGAGCTATATATACCACAGACTGGAATCCGTTGTCCTTCCACTTAAGTACCTCTTCTCTCGCCTAAAGGCATAGTGATGGGCATTGTCTGAAAATTTGAGGTACCAAAAAAGAGGGAGGGCTTTTTGGTGGAAACACAGGCATCTAGAGACTTTACTTTGGCTAACAAAAACAGATACTTCTGGGACTTGCCCTAATCCTCCTTACCTCAAGGCAAAAGGCATTTCCATTGGGCTATTGATTAATGTGTATATCCCCTTAAAATTCATTTGTTGAAACTATGATCTGAAATATCATGGTATTTGGAGCTAGGACCTGCAGGAGGCAATTAGCTTTAGATGAGGTGATAAGGGTGAGGCCCCCATGATGTTATTAGTGCCCTTATAAGAAGAGGAGATCAGAGGCTTCCCCTTCTCTCTAACATGGAGGTAGCAAGAAGGTGAGTATCTGTAGGCCAGGCAGAGAGTTCTCACCAGGAACCCAACCCTGCTGGCAACCTGACCTTGGACTGCCAACCTCCAGAACTGTGAAGCTTAAGCCCCCCAGTCTGTAGTATTTTGTTTCAGCAGACTGAGCTAAGATATACCATCTGTGCATCCCTTAATTCAGTGAATATTTATTGAGTCCTTACTATGTTTTTTTAAGATTTATTTATTTATGCATACAAGAGCTGGGGTACAGGCCAGAGATGCGGGGAGTGAGAGGATTCACCAGAGACAGAGTGGGGAACAGAACAGGCAGACTGACTGAAATACACTGCTGAGGGGAGCAGCGGGCGAGACAGGAGAGGTCTGCTGCTCCATGTGGGTTGCTCCCTGGCCGGCCTGGGATCAAACTCATGCTTCAGAGGCTGCAGATTGCTTCATAGTGTGGTGCTTAACCCCTTGCACCACCAAGGAGGCCCCTAACTATGTTTTAAAAATCGTTCTAAGTCTTAGAGCTCAGCAGTGAACAAACTTGTAAGGTCTCTGTTCTCAAGAAGTTTACACTCTAGTTTTAGGGGAGCAACCCATAAACCTTTCATAAGATCGTTCCAACCAGTGATGAATGCCATGGGGTAAATAAAATATAAAGATACAAAACAATAAGTGCAGAAGGGTGGGGGATGACTGATTTAGACAAATTAGACAGGAAAGACTGAACCCAGTAGGAAGAGCTGCTAGATAAAATGCAGGCTGCCCAGTTGAATTTGAATTTTAGAAAACAGTGGGAAAAAATCTAGTACAAGTATATTTCAACTATTGCATAAAACATACTTAAAACTCCAAAGTCTTATCACTAAAAATTATGTAAAATTCAAACCTAATTGGGCATCCCAAATTTTCATTGGCTAAATCTTGCAACCCTATCAGTAGGTGACATTTGAATGGAGAACTGAATGACCAGAAGGAACTAACTATGCAAAGATTTAGGGAAAGAGTGATTCAGGCAGAGGGAACATCCAGTGTAAATGTCAGAATAACCAGAGGGAGGTTAGCACAAATGAGGTCAGATAAATAGAGGCCAGATCATGCAGAATTCCGTAGGGATGACAAGAAATTTGAGTCTCTGTATCTCTGTCTTTGTCTCTCTCTCCTGTAAGAGTCATAAGCCGTTGGCTTTTTAAGAAAAAAGAGTGACAAAAGTGTTTGGCTGCTGTATGATCAACTTTTGGAAGGGCTCAGAGGACAAATTCAGAAGATAATTAAACTGAAGCCTGTATTGCTGGTCTGCGAAGAGGTTTCCATGTTTGCAGGTGGACCCATTTAGGCGCTGTGGGCGACGCGTCTGGGTTAACGAGGCGGTTGCTATGGAGGGACAGCTTGCCGGTTGCTAGGGAAGAGGGGGCGGGGCCCCGGCGCGCAGAGCCGCCTCAGCCGCCCGGTCGGGGGCGGAGCCAGGAGTGCACGTCGCGGTTCGCCGGAAGTCATGCCGGGACGGAGGGGGGCGCAAGCGGAAGTGACGTAGACATTTGCACACGTGGTTCTGCGTGGTTCACGCGGCTTGCTTGTGCCGGGCCTGGGCAGTCAAGTGCTCGTTTACCCCTCGTAGGCCGGACCTAGCGCTCCGGTCCTGAACCGTCGACAAGATGGTGAAGCCCAAGTATAAAGGACGGAGCACCATCAACCCCTCCAGGGCCAGCACGAACCCCGGTACCGGCGGCAGAGTCGCGAAGGGGGGCGCTTACAGGAAACTTGGGGGAGGGGAGCAGAGCTCTGAGGAGCTGGCGGGGCGAGGGGTTGGGGGGAGACACCCCCCCCCCGGGTGGCATTCCTTGGCGCGACCTCGAGCTGAGTGACTGTGGGGAACGACAAGGGAGAAGGTGGCTTTTTAATTGGAGTTCTTGAGGGATAGTGACATCTTGCACTCCTGTCAGGCCGGGGTGCTTGGCACCGGGTCAAGTGTCAGGGAAAGTGAACACAGGCCTGGCAGCGTTGGGTGACCCCAGTTGTGAGATGGGGAGGCTCTGAGTTGGATTCCTGTGTAGGTCAGGTGTTGAAGCCCGTTCCCATCTTATTTCATCATGTGTGATTACAGCCTTCCAGTTCTGCGAATTGCCAGAAGCAAATTAGAGCCACTTGGCCTTTGTGCTAAACCACCCTTGCCTCCCATTTAAATGAGAAAGAGATTGTAGATTTGACTCTTGGAGTCTTCCCACCTGGTAAAGTGCATTTTGACCCTGCAGATAAACAAATAGGTCATTTCGCTAAAGATGGGTATGAGTTTTGCTGTAGTTCCAGCTAAAGAATGAACAAGATAGTCTTTGGGGGAGTCCCTTCAACTTGGGTTCATTTAATAAAATTTTGTTATTAAAAATGGCTTAAAGTTTTTCACCACTGTAGCTCTTGTGGGATGTTTCCTGAATTGCTGATGAATTATTCAATTTGTATTGATTGGAATCTTAGACTGTGAGACCTGAAAAACCCCTTAGAGGTCCTGTCAGAGGTGACGTGACTGAACCAAAATATGGGAAGAAGCTTGTCACAGGTGGCAGTTGGTCATAGAGCTGCCAGACCTGTGATTTCAGCTTGTTTTCTACAGCATCACTTGTGGATGTAGGTGATTTGAAGAATCCTAAAATGAGAAGTTACTATTCTCATCTTATGAGAATAAGAGTAATAGGTTACTATCACCATACTTGTTTGTCCTCTTATTTTTCTCATAGATGTAAGGCTAGAATGACTGCCTATTTTCTGTTGATGAAACAAAAATCAAATATTAGGAAATTAAGACACATGTATTAGGAACACTTCCATATCAAAATTATAGCCTCCTTGGTGTCTTGCTTGTGGCACACACTCAGTATGTATTAAAATGACACCAGGGCAGGTAGGTGTCTTAGTGAAGAGCACAGATAGAATGCTTTTGTTCAAATTCTGACACTGCCATTTAGTAACTGAGTGACCTTGAGCAAGGTATCTGGCCACTGAATGTGTTTCTTGGCCTACAGAATGGGAATAACATATCCCCCTTGTAGGATTACTGTATGAGTTGCGTGAGGTGACGCCTGTCATGTGGATGGCACAGTGTCATTACTGGTGTTCAAAAATATTAGTTAATATTATTATCAAGCACAGACCTACTAAGGATCAAAGATGAGGTAAACTTTGTCATACCACGTAGCTTCCAGCAATTTGCAACAGATGGAGAAATTAGAGATTTTGTGGTAAAGTGGCAGCTTGCCTACTCTGAACGAACTAGTGGATGTGTTCGAAGCAATGACCACACGTAGACTTGTTGGTTATGAGAGAGTGTACTGTCGCGTCTGTTTCCTAGATCGAGTACAGGGAGCTGGAGGCCAAAACATGAGAGACCGAGCCACAATTCGGCGCCTGAATATGTACAGGCAAAAGGAGCGCAGGTGAGCATTGGATGCTGTAATTCTCTCCCCTTTCTTTCATGCCCTTGACTTGTAGCTGAGACCCAGTAATAAGCTTTTCCTGTTTCCACCTCCATTTCCCCCAAGTAGGGATAATGCATTTTCCATTATCATTTTATGTGATAAATAGTAAAGTTTTAGTTAAAGACATGGGGAGTGGGTGGTGAAGTAGTGATTGTGTCACAACACTCTACAATGACAGGTTTTGTTCCCCACCGTCTCAGCCTCCATGAGTGGCGCATTAGATATCAATTTAAATCCTCGTCAGGGGAATCTGATTTTCTTTAACAGAATATATAGGTCTGTAGTCATGAAAGTAGCTAGAAAACTTGTTTTTGAACTCCAGGCTTTAGATCACAACATTGTGACACTTGAAAATGCATCATAGTTCTGAGCTCTGCTGAGGCAGCCTCTGTCACGGGGACTTGCTGAGTTTGGCATTTTGCTAGCTGGTCTTAATTTATTTGGTAATTAGATTCTCCATCCATTCTAAAAGATGTGTCTAAAAGACAAACGTCAATGAACTTAATCTGCCTTAGTCACCTACTTTACAGTTTGTTTTAAAATTTTGAGCTCCAGCATAAATCTTCCCCTACTTAAAATTCATTTAAACCAGCCTTCAGATAATTACCAAAAAACTCAAGTATGTGATTTTTTAAAAAGCAAACAAACAGTAAACAGATTTTTAAACATCAGCATTATTTGTTATTCATCTAGCAGAAATCATTATGTGCTCTGTTGCAAGAGGTTAAATGGCTTTTGGGCAATCTGTTTCAAATGTAGAAGTGCTTTTTGTTTACCGAAATGTGTATTTCATGATCATTTAAAAGCCAAAAAAAAAAAGGGGCCTTTTGATGGAAAGCGTATTCTGTAAACCAGACATTGCTCTTGCCTTTTGTCTGTCGTCAACCAAATCTGTTATTTCCTCAATTTAGGAACAGTCGTGGTAAAGTGATTAAGCCTCTGCAATATCAATCAACGGTGGCTTCTGGCACAGTGGCGAGAGTGGAGCCAAATATTAAATGGTTTGGTGAGTATTATCATCTGTCTGTTACTTTTGCTCTACAAAATATGTGCTATATGGAAAAGAGTAGAATGTTCAGGTGTCTAAAAGGCAGGGGGTTTTGAGTGAGTGGAACTGACAGGGACTGTGTGAAAAGGGGACAAGAAGGACCTGTAGTGGAAAAAGTGCTGAGAAAAGTAGTGGTGGTGGATTTCATAAATTCTTTTTTGAAATAAGCTTGTTGTCAGTTGTCAGTGGACCCTCTTAAACAGGTTAGACCTACCTTAATAACTAGTATTCACAAACCTGGGAGCTCTCATCTCTTAATTTCTGTTTGCCTAGAGAGCTTACTATTTGAGAGGCACTTGGAGATTTGTTAGTGCCTTTAGCCTGAAGAATAAGTGCATTAGCCTGAAGTTCTTCTGAAATACTTTTTTTTTTAAGATTTATTTATTTATAGAAGAACCGGGGTACAGGCCAGGTGTGGGAGGGTGAGAGGATTCACCAGAGACAGAGTGGGGAACAGTACAGGCAGACTGACTGAAATACACTGCTGAGGAGAGCAGCGGGTGAGACAGGAGAGGTCTGCTTGCCATGTGGGTATCTCCACCTCCGGCGGGGATCGAACCAGGACTGCAGAGGCTGCGGACAGTTTCACAGCGCTGCGCTCAACTGCCTGCGCCACCACGGAGGCCCTGAAATACTTTTTCTTAATGGGGTTGTATTTGAACTGAGTGACAGTGAAAGAATCTTGTTGGTCCTTCTGAGGGGTGAATAGATTATCTCCAGATACTGGTCCAGCCCTATAAGGAAAACAGGGCTCCTTCCTTTGGAAACTCCCATCTTCATTTCCAGATGGAGTGTGGGGTCACAGCCTTTCCCCGAGCCATTGCTAGATGTGGGGAGTGCTTTAAATGGGCACACCCATTATTTGCCTGGATGCTTGAGCTCTGCGCTTGGTAGCAGATGCCAGCTACCTTTAAATATATCTCTTATACCTTTGATGAGATTCCTCCGTGTCCTGCAACATGGACAGAAAAGTGTCAGATACTCCTTAGAGAGTTGTGCAGTGTGATGTCTAGGTCCTGTAATTCTAGATCCAGGCTGCTGGAGTTTGAATCCTAGTTCTGCCATTTCTGTGACCATGGGCAAATCAGTGAGATTGTCTATTCATTAACTTCCTCAAATCTAAAAGGAGGATGAAAACAGTACTTGTCTCATATGAATGTCTTGGTAATCTATTGTGTGAGTACCTGGAAAGTGCTTAGAATAGTGCCTCGCACTAGTAGTACAGGATAAGCCTTAACTGCTGTCATCATTGCCATTGTCATAGTCACTACCTCAGGTTTTGCATTTGTACTGCATCATGCTGTTTGGTTGAATATGTTCTTCAGGATCTTTTACAGGATGTTCTCCAGGTAGTGTTAGTTGGCTTTATTTTTGCTCCCTTGAATGGATTTATTGATTAATAGTCTCTTCAGACCCTCATAATCCTAAAAACAGTAATTGAGTCTTAGAGCCTGTGCTTTGGTTTTCTCTATACATACTAGCTGAGCAGCTGTTAGAAATCTCCAAATCTTTGCCACATCTAGCAGGAAGTAGGGCATTTGTCAAACCACAGTTGCATTCAGTATTGTTTCTTTCTCAGTTTCATCCAGTCAGGAAATTGGACTTGGGAGACTGCTGAAACCCTTTGTATATCTGGGTTGGTGGATTAGGTCACGGTATATTAGTCCACAGTGCAAGAGTCAGTTTTTTTTATTTATTATTTTCGCCTCTTCAGTTTGAATGTGGCTGCATGGGGTGGATATATCAGGTGTCTAGTGAGGAGGGTAATTTAAAATCTTGCCTTTTACTGTGTCATTGGGAAAATGGATGCAGAAACAAAAAGGAGTCATTTATTAAATGGCAACATTCTTCTGTAAAACAGGAAACACACGTGTGATTAAGCAGTCATCATTACAAAAATTTCAAGAGGAAATGGATACAGTTATGAAGGATCCTTACAAAGTTGTCATGAAGCAAAGCAAGTTACCCATGTCTCTCCTCCATGATCGAATCCGGCCTCACGTAAGGAGGATCTCCCTGGCTATGGAATTTCTTAGGCATACTCCTTGCAGAGCCTTTCTAACTGGTCTTTTCTTTTTTTTCCTTTCCATAGTGAATAGTTACTTTAAATAGAACCCATTAACTTTTGAGACTTCTTTTACCTTTGTAGGGGGGGCCTCACCCTGAGCATGATTTACTTTCCATCCAGGAGATACAGTAGCATAGTGGATCAAAGCACTGGTTTGGGAGTGAAAGCTGAATTTTAACCTTTCCTCTGCCCCTTTCTATGGCCTTCTGTCTCTCCATGAGCTTTCACTTCCCTGACTATAAAGATAATCCTCCTTGAGTGATTGGATGCAGATGAAGCATCTGTAACGCACTTGGCACATAGTGCGCACATAGCTCGCCAGCTGACTAGTGCTAAGTAGCTGATAGCTAGTACAAATATTATTTCCATTTTTTTTTTTTTTTTCATGGTCAAACCTGTTTGACTCCATCAAACTTTAGGGAAATGTAGAATTAGGATTGGGTCAGTAGGAGGGAGACCTTTGTTGTGTACACCAAAGTCTTTGAGATTCTTGGAGATCCTTGAAGGAAAGGATGCTGGTTAGCTCGGTTGGTCACCGTTGAAGTTGGAAGTACAAATAGGGACGGAATCTGGCTCAAGTGGAATGAGTTTCACATGGATCTAAAGAAATGTCCTAATGTTTGCCTGCACGTTTTTACTTGCATTGAATAATAATTCCCAGAAGTGTAGCCAGTACATAAGCTTCAGTTCCAGTATAAGGAGGGGAAGAAAGCATTGACATGCATACATGGATTAAACAGTTCAAAGAAAAGTGTTTACTTGCAGAACAAAATAAAAACCAAGGCCTGGTTATTGCCTCAGGTTTTGTCAATTATGCTTTGTTTTATGACGGACTAGAAGAATGGCACCTATTAGCGGAGTGACTGTTTTCTTTCAGGGAAACACATGAGTGTAATTCACGAACCACAGACAAGTTGCTCATTTCCCTTGTTCTCTTTGTCTGTTCTCCCTAAAGCTATCTTTTAACAAACTATTGAATCCTGTTTATGAGAAGAACAGAGAGGTTCTATTATGGATTTATTGCTTTGTTGCCTATTCCAGTTGTTCAATGCTTCTAAAACCTAGTTCTTAAATATCTGATATGAAGAGTGAAGGATCTACAGCTGTAGCGGTTGGTTAGCTTGTCTTTTGGTACAGATAGTACTTAAAGTAACTAATGAGTTTTCTGTTTTGGACCTGAAAAGTGGTACCACTTTTATTAATGTGAAATATAATTCTGAGATTGTTGCATGATGGAGTCAAATCAGATAAACTTTTAACTTGTATATTCAGCTTTATGTGTATTGTAGTTACTGTATTTCTATAGCAAGACAATAAAACTACAATAATATTTTCTTGGGTATTTTATTAAATACTACATGTTACTGCATTGTACTTATTAGTGTATAGATTTGAATGCATAAAACCATGTATACTGCACTTCATAGGTTAATTAGCTTTTCAAGGATAATCTTGACCATAATTTTCCTAGTTTACATTAAAACCTAGTTCCCATGTAAAATGCAACCCTTCTGTTTGGGGATGTTCGCCAGTTGGGGGTTAGCAACAAGTAAACCTGAGAGATGGGTTAGAGAATCTGAGAAAATAATAGTTTAGGGATCTTTAGAAGTTGGGAGGAGGGCAGGATATCTGTTAAAGTTCAGAAGCCACAGGGATTGTTTCATCATCCAGTGCTTAGTAGCTGGTGCTTTCAGAGGAGCCTGGACTGCGGGAGAGAGGGGTGATTTTTTTGAGGATACTCTCTGCCGGCTGTTAACGTTCTGTTACGTGATAGATCCTAACTCAAATTTTGACTTTTATCCTGCTTCAAAAATTCCTATGCCTGTAACTCCTTTACAGGCACATCAAGTTCTAGTTAGTATCAGGTTCCTTTTATCACATCTAAACTATTATTTTGGACTTTTGCTAGATGTTTTTCATCTGAAGACTTTCCATGTGCATTTAATAAAAACGTTACCTAAATTAGGGAAAATGTTATCTGAAACTAAAATGCATCTTACAAAACAAGCAATTCCTTTTAGCCATGAAAGAAATTAACTTCCAAGAAAAAGTTGGCATTTACAGTTGGTTTAAAAAAAAAACACAAATTTGAGTATGATTGTCCTTGACAAAATCTGTGAATTTGGCGAATTTTATGCACTTGTTTGAAAGCTCAAAAAAATGGTCAGAAAAGATAAGTTAATTTTCATCATTGTGGCCTTAATTACATTTGACCAGAGTTTATGATAAATGAAGTAAATCAGTTTTTGGCAAATCTTACACAACTGTTCATGTTTGCTTTGAATAGTTGATATTTGTATTACTTTTGTATTTCTCCAAGGAGGCTTACAGAGCCTAGAGGAGGGGGCAAGTGCTGCGTTTCTGATTGGCAACCGGACTGCATCCATGTTGTAGGGTTTGGTGTGGGTTGAACTTGGGCAAGAGAAAAGTAGAAAGCCTGTTCCAACATTTTGCTTTTTCTGTGTGCTTAGTTTTGCCTGTAATTCTCCTTTCTCTTTAGAATGCAAAGGTGCACATTCTTGACACGGAAAGCTTTGAAACTACATTTGGCCCCAAGTCACAGAGGAAGAGACCGAATTTATTTGTGAGTGATGTGCAGTCTCTCGTAGAAAATGCAGAAATGTCCACTGAGAGCTATGACCAGGGCAAGGACCGTGATCTGGTGACTGAAGACACCGGCGTGAGGTACAGCTTCGCGGTTGGCACTGCTCTCTTCCTCTGTCCTTGTGCAGCATAACATTGCCTTTATGTGTATTTTGCCTACATGAAGCGCAGTGATTTAACTGCTAGATGGAGTGTTTCCTCTTGTCTTTAAACTAGTGAAATTGGGGCCTAACTGAAAAATATTTGAAGGTGGTTTGTTTATATAGGTCTCTCATCCCTAAGGTAAGCAGTTTCTTCATTATAATAGCAGTGTGTCCTACCATAGATAAATTAGAACTGCAACAGAAAGAAAATGAGAATTCAATCTCACTCCCTAAGCATTGTTAGTGTCTTAGCGAATATCAAGGCTTCCTTACCCAGAAGTCTCTGGAGTTTATGATCATCTTTGAGGTGTCTGAGACCCTGGGAAGATAACACGGCATATCTCTGTATAAAGGAGTTGGGGTTTTGTTGTTTGTTTTTTGTTTTGCATTGTTTTAGGGAGAGGGGACCAAAAAGCATCCATAACTTCGCTTGTATTCTAAGAGGTCAAATCCAGGAAAAGGTGGAGTCATCCACTGATGTGTATTTCTCCACTTCCTTACACTAAGTTTTCATTTTCAAGTATAATGCCTTAAACTGTATTTTAATTTGCTGTTTTAGTTTTTCCCCTAAATTATTAAGAATATATTTCCTTGTTGGTATTAACAAAAGTGTAATGCTTAACATCAAACTAGTATTGTTATGGCCATTTCCATTGAATTTTTACCCTGTTTAGTTTTTCTATATCGTGAACAATGCTCAAGTGAAACATCAACGTCACTAGATCTTTCCCATCCTTAATTACTCCCCGAAGACACATTCTTACAGGAGGTTATGACAGCAAGGGGGGTGCATGCTCCTTGATGGTCAGCCCTCTGGAACAGGTTACCGTTTAGTTTCCCCAGGCAGTGCCGGGCACCCCTGTCTTCCCTCATGTTTCTCTCAGGTGCCTTCTTAGCAAAGAGACATTGCTTCCCACTGTAGTGATGCCACCTCAATGATGCTGTCAGCCTGTCTCCAGATTTGGACCTCCTAGAACGAATGTCAAGCAAGCTCTTTGAAGCCAGGCAAAAAGGGGCAGGAAGTTTATTTGTTTTTGGAGTTAGTTGGACTTTGTAGTTGACTTTGTAGTCTTCTGTTCATTTGAATTTTTCCTCCGGAAGATACAGTAGGTAATAGGGGTCAGGGGGGAGACAAAACTCTTTGTTTCAAAACATCTTTGAAAGGGATTCCCTGGTCGCCCAGGGGTTAAGTCTCAGCACTATCACCTCTGTGGCCTGAGTTTGATCCCTGGCCAGGGAGGTGACCCACATGGCACGGCAGACCTCTCCTGTCTCGTCCACTGCTCCCCTCAGTGGTGTATTTCAGTTAGTCTGCCTTCTGCCTGTTCTGTTCCCCACTCTCTCTCTGGTGAATCTTCTCACCCCCTGCACCTCTGGCCTGTACCCCAGTTCTTGTATGCATAAATAAATAAAATAAATCTTTTAAAAAAACAAAACAAAACACATCTTTGAGACCAGTAAGTCTCAAACAGATTCTTAACCTTATCAGAAAAATGGAATCTAGGGAGTATAGATTGTGGTTCTGGTCCACCAATTCCTTTTCATAATTTTCCATGACAGTTTAGAATAACATTAAATATATTCACATGGTCTTGCAACCATCACCACGGTCCACCTCCAAAATCCATTCACATGTCCCAAACTAAAACTGTCCACTGTGCCCACCCTGGCCCTGAAAGCCACCATTCTGTCCTCCCTCACAGGCATCTTACCACACTCAGGAACAGTACCTCATATGAATGCAGTCAGATAGTATTTAGCCATTTGTGTCTGGCTTACTTCACTAGCATAATGTCTTCAGGATTATCCATGCTGCAACATGTTATCAGTACTTTAATTCTTTTTTGATTGTTGACTTATATCCCTTTGTGCATATTTACCACATGTTTTTTAGCCACTCATCTGTCAGGTATTTGGATACAGTCACTTGTTTTTGGTCCATTTCCAGCTAGATTTGATACCCTTTTTTTTTTTCTTTTTAAAATTTATTTATTTATGCATACAAGAGCTGGGGTACAGGCCAGAGATGCGGGGGGGTGAGAGGATTCACCAGAGACAGTGGAGAACAGAACAGGCAGGCTGACTGAAATACTGCTGAGGGGAACAGCGGGCAAGACAGGAGAAGTCTGCTGCGCCGTGTGGGTTGCTCTTTGGCTGACTGGGAATCGTGCTGCAGAGGCTTCGGATTGCTTCATAGTGCAGTGCTTAACCCCTTCTGCCACCAGGGAAGCCCTAGATTTTATACCCTTTTCCTGTGGTACATGGTTGACTTTTCCCTAAAATATCCTCTTAACTTCAGTTGCTTCCATTGCTCATTTTGGGTGCTTTCTTATTTAGAAATGAAGCCCAGGAAGAGATCTATAAAAAGGGACAATCCAAAAGAATCTGGGGTGAGCTCTACAAGGTGAGACTTGAAATTCTCTCTGAGTAGGTCCTTTGCTTTTCATAATTTTGAATGAGAAAATGGATTTTGATATATTGGAATTCTGTCAGATTAAAATACAAACTCCACTACCCCTTCTATCTATTTCCTCACAAAGGAACCAAGATTGATACAGTCATACACCTATTAAGCATTGTTCTAAATAACTGTACTGCATTTTAAAAATTACTCTCATATAGAAGTAACAGTTATATACATTCATATATTCTATCATTATATCTGCTAAGATGCTATTCCTGTCTAGATTTATCATACATGGTTAGAGCTGAGAATTTTTAATCTATTTATAAAGTCCAGCCCCCTCATTGCATGGAACACGTCCAGGAAGGTTGTTGACTAGCTTACCTGACTCACCCACCGCTTAGTGGAAGAGGCTGTGTGTGTCTTCAGTCCCGGTCCTGTTCTTTTTCATTGGTGCCATTTTATGTCCACACACTAGTAATGCTCTTCGTTACAAAGACCTTCAAGCATGGCCACATAATTAAACCATAACATATTAAGAAATTAGTACTATGAGGGCAAACCAAATTTTTTAGTGTAAAATACATAAAACCTGTATCAGAAACTTTTAGAAGTCCAAGAAATGACTGATCAGTAGTACGCAGCAGTTAGGAAATGAGATGGAGTTCACCTAAGCTAGTTCTGCTGTTTGCATGTCAAGTTTCAAATGCCCACAGAATGAAGAAATAGGAATTATGGTCAGATTGGCTTCAATCAGCTTTCCTCATGAGACTGTTTTGAAGTTGCCTATTATTTTATTTTCCCTAAGTTCCCGCTTTCATTTTGCACTTGCACTATAGCAAATGACTCTTGCCTTTTTGAATTTGCAGGTGATAGATTCATCAGATGTTGTAGTTCAAGTTCTTGATGCTAGAGATCCTATGGGTACCCGTTCCCCTCACATTGAGACTTACTTGAAAAAGGAAAAACCCTGGAAACACCTCATTTTTGTTCTTAACAAATGTGACCTTGTTCCAACCTGGGCAACAGTAAGTATATCTGCTAATCCAAAACCAATCACCAAGTTCTCTCCACTCCTGCAGGATTTGATATACCTGTAAATAATTCAGTTTTGTGATTTCTAGAACTGAGTGTTGCCCTTGTGAGATTGTAGTCATTGAAGTGTCCTTATTGAAAACAGAACTGAAATGTGCTTTGTTGACAATGGGCAGAGTTACCTTTTACCCTGTGATGGTTGGGGAGAGACGGCTGCAGCACCCCACACATGAGTGATGTCGCCCCTTAGTAGACAGCAGCTCCCCACCGGCCTGTTTCACATTATGGTACATTAATTGCATTAGTAGCATTGAAGGCATTTTTTGAATATTGTTTTGTATTTATAAGACAAAAGACAAAGCATTAACTGTCACACTTGAATAAAACATTTCAAGGAATTATAGCTAACATTTTCCTTACACAACTGCTCTTTGAAACACAGTCCTGTAATTCAAACTCTGAGTCTTCCCTGTGTTGTAAATAAACATGTTCTAGTTTATCAGTATCTTTTCCTTTCTCCCCGCAGAAGCGATGGGTTGCCATCCTCTCCCAGGATCACCCAACACTCGCCTTCCACGCCAGTCTCACTAACCCCTTTGGCAAAGGAGCGTTTATTCAGCTGCTGCGGCAGTTTGGAAAGGTATTGAAACCTGATCGGCACCTCGTGGGTGTGGGTTTGTGTGAGTATCTCACCTAGTCACTGCGTGTCAGAGGAGCCAGCCGTGTCGCTCCCTGCATCATCCTGGTGATGCACGCGTTCTGGAGCTTCAGGAGCGCACAGAGCCTGAAGGTTATAAGGGATTCTCGCATACTTTCTAGCCTAGCCTGTTCTCCCATCCCCAGCCAATGTTGCTTCCCTTTCTGCCGTGCCCCCTTGCACCTGTGTTCTTCACGCTGGGCTTTCATGGCCTGCAACACGTCCTCCACCCTCCAGCCTGTGCAATTTCTGTCCCTTCTGCTTGGAGGGCACCCTGCCAAACTCCAGCTCAGCTCCTTAGGGCTTCAGGGAAGCCCTAAAAACAGATCACCCCAGCACACGTGCTCAAAGCTTCACGTCCCGTCCCCACAACTTTGTGTTTGTGTATTGCTTCTACCTGGCTTCTAATTAGAGACACATGTCCTCTGTCCCACCCTTCCCCATTTCCCAGAAGCAAGCACAAACTCTTGCAACTTTTGGCTGCTTTTATGTTACTTACTTCTGTGGTTTTTTGTTTGTTTGTTTTAATGATATCTGGAAGTTTGTTTGTTTGTTTTTTTTAAGATTTATTTATTTATTTATATATACAAGCACTGGGTACAGTCAGAAGCGCGGGAGGGTGAGAGAATTCACCAGAGCCAGAGCGGGGAGCAGAGCAGGCAGAAGGACCAAAGTACACTGCTGAGGGGAGCAGCGGGCGGCAGGAGAGGTCTGCGCGCCGTGAGGGACCCTCCTGCAGTGGCCGGGGAGCAGCCGGGAATCAAACCGACACTGCAGAGGCTGCGGGCAGCTTCGCAACCCAGAGCTCAACTGCTGCGCCACCAGGGAGGCCCTACTTCTGTATTTTCAATGTATGCTTATGAGTTGGTTTCTTGACCACCACAACCCCCCCCCCCCCCCCCGAGTTTTAGATAGTAAGTTTCTACCATGGAAAATGAGGATTAGGCTTTTTTTTTTTTTTTAAGATCTATTTTTATTTATTTATGCATATAAGAACTGGGGCGCAGGCCAAAGGTGTGGGGTGTGAGGATTCACCAGAGACAGAGTGGGGAGCAGAACAGGCAGATCTACTGAAATATAGTCTGAGGGGAGCAGCAGGCGAGGCAGGAGAGGTCTGCTGTGCCATGTGGGTAGCTCCCTGCCCAGGGATCGAACTCATGCTGCAGTGGCTGGTGATAGCTTGGTTGCTGAGAATTTAGCTTGTTGCTGAGAATTTCCCTGCACCACCAGGGAGGCCCAGGATTAGGATTCTTATGGCCATCCTCCCTTCACACTTTCTTCCCTCTATCTTCCCTATGTTGTCATACAACAGTGTTTGACTAAAATATTATTCATTCAGTGTTTGCATTATTATGACCATAAAATATTAGCCACAGCTGGTTTACACAGCACTACTATTTATTTTCTAATAGAACCTTCTGTTTTTTTCTCTGATGTTAATTGGCTCTGTTTTATTTGTATTTATCATAACATGTCACATTCTCTGGTAGAGTGGGACAGCTCAAACTGTTCCGGTGCGCCATGTGGTCAGCTGCAGTGGCAGCCCTTTATCTTCAATTCCAGTTGGGACTGACAGCTGCAGAGTCTTCCCCATGGGGTTTCCTGTCAATATCATTTGGAGAATTGCGTGTCTTTTTCCTGTATTAGAACCCTTTTCTTTCTTGGTTTACTCCTTTCCTTTGAGGGAACTTTTTCCAAAAACTTCCTGAGAACGGTGCTTAGAAGGAACATTTTTTGAGACCTGGCATTCTGGAAATATCTTCATTGTATCCTCACACCATTTCTTCTCAGAATGTCTCTCTTTGTCCTCAGAGTGTTGAAGGCACTACCTTGTTCTCTTCTTTCAGTATTGCTGTTGAGAAATCTGAAGCAATTCTGACTCCTGAATTCTATGTGAATTTTTTTAAAGTTTCCATACAAAAATTTCACAGTGATGTAATTTAAGATGGGTCTTTCATTGTTGGGTGAGCTAGCATTCAGTGGGACTTTCAGTAAGATGTTACAGGGCCTCCCTGGTGGCGCAAGGGGTTAAGATGCAACCTGTGAAGCTGTCCACAGCAACTGCAGCACGAGTTCGAGAGACCTTTCCTGGCTTGCCCACTGCTCCCTTCAGCAGTGTGTTTCAGTCAGTCTGCCTGTTCTGTTCCCCACTCTGTCTCTGGTGAATCCTCTCACTCCCCACACCTCTGGGCTGTACCCCAGCTCTTATATGCATAAATAAATCTTTGGGAAAAAAAAAAGATGTTACCTCACATTATTTGTTGGAGGTTTTCCCTTCCTCTCTGTTATCTCTGTTATTGTTCAGAAATTTGGCATTATCGCCTGGTTTAATTCTTGAATTTCTTGTCTTTATTTCAATACATAAGTGACATTTTGCTGTACTTTCTGGTGATTTCCTTGCCTTGATCATCTAGCTGTTCTAGCACAGGTTTTATTTGCCTGTCACTTTTAATTTTTAATTTTTGAGAGCTTGCAGCCTGTTGTCTCATAGATGTAGTATCTTCTCTCTCAGAGAATAATGATAGTGATGTTTTGAGTTTTCCCCTCTCTTACATTGACTCTGTTTTTTCTGCTAGATTCATACTTTCAGTGTCTGGCTATTCTTGATTCTCCATTTGTGTTTAAGAGTAAACCACTAAAAAAAGGCAACAGAAGTTTTATGTAGTGACTGGCTTGTTGATGGAGCTTCTATCTAATCATGCTACAATGAAGTCTAACATCCCACTGGATGACCTCCTCAATGTCGGTATCTCTTCAACTTTCAACCTTTGGAAACCTTCTTTTCCAGAGAAGAATCTTTTAGTCTCCAGCTTGGGGGTATATAAGCCTGACTACCAAGGTTCTTGGAACTCTGTGGGAATAGTGGGTAGGGGAACATTCACCTTCAGCTACTATTATCTCTGAGTCAGGGGTCCTTGACTGAACATTAGTTTTTTTCAGACATGCAGGGTTTAAAAAATCATAAACACATGAATAAGGCTCTGGGGTGGAGAAGGTGGTTAATAACACATGTTAGTTTTTATTATCTAATCTCAAGCTCATTCTTTGGTTCTGTACGTTTGGTGCTATAGGTTTGTATGTGTGGATTCTGACTGTTGTCATTCTAGTGGCGTTTGGAGGAGGAGTGAGGCAGGCATGGAAGTTGAGCTTGCCATCGTTCATCAGCCATCCCATCCATGGGTAGATGCCTCTTGTGGCAAGCTGACCTCTGCCTCCTCAAGATTGTCACACAGTCACCTAACTTTTGCAGTTGCTTTTTTGTTTGTTTTGTTTTGTATTTTTGGCAGTGAAGATACAAAATGTGTAAAGAGAGGGGAGGGATGGGTCATGGGGTTGCCAGTTAGTGCACTGTGAGGTTCTCTTCCCTGAAGACATTTTATCGGTGGATCCTGTTCTTCTAAATTGGTGACTAACAAGCTATTTCTTCCTTTGTTTTCTCGACCTACATATTTTAAACCTTAAAACATTCAGGCATAATTTCATATGAGTGACTGAGAAGATGACTCATCTCCGACTTACTCATCAGTGTATGTATCCGGCCCACTCAGACTGTGTAGGTGTTGTGTCTAGGCTTTCAGTCAAGTTCTAGCAACAGTTCTGCTCTGTGATCTTTATATTAAAGTAATCCAACCTGATCTGTTTGTCCATAGGAGTATTCATGACTGCATGTATGTGTTGTGTTTTCTTTTTTTCTGTAGCTGCACACTGACAAGAAGCAGATCAGCGTCGGGTTCATTGGCTACCCAAATGTCGGCAAGAGCTCTGTGATAAACACATTGCGCTCCAAGAAAGTTTGCAGTGTGGCCCCCATTGCGGGGGAAACAAAGGTAAGGCTGCCTCAAGGGGATCTTCTTTACCGTTAGGTATTTCCTCTTCATGGGGAGGGATCCTTAAGATGATGATTTCTATCTGCTATTCCATTTCTATCTCATGAATGAAGACCACCACTGGGCATTTAGTCTCCATGTAAAAGTTTGGAATGTATCAGTTGTTTCTGCCCATTTTGGTAAGACTAAGAGTACTTGTATGCTACTGTGTGGCTTTGGCATGATTTGGTAAGTGCCATTTATATTGGTCTGTTTTAAATTGTCGCTTTGATCTTTTACTCTTGACAGACAAAACTGGCCCAAGAATATTTGATATTTAAGAACTAAATAAAACTCAATGTTAGGGTACATTCTGGCAGTTGGGGCTCATGCCCTAGAGCACAGAGTATTGGGGGCAGTATGTGGTTCTGTTAAAAGGACGAGAGGCCAAACAGTATCAAGCTGCCAAGAGTACTTTCAAAAATGAGGACAAGTTTTACTGCCTGTTGCTGTGCAGCCCTACGCGGGCCCGAACCTGATGGACTCCTGACTGACGGAAACTAGAGTTTATCCTTGGGGGAGAGACTTCATAGCTTACTCAGCAGTTGCCTGGCTCCCTTTCCCACTTTTAGCTTCATGAGCATCAAAGGTTTGTGAAAATAGATTCAGTGTTTAAACTGGGGAAGTCTCTGGCTTTTTTCCCCCTCTTCATAGGTCTGGCAGTATATTACCTTGATGCGGCGGGTATTCCTCATCGACTGCCCAGGGGTGGTGTATCCCTCTGAGGACTCCGAGACAGACATCGTGCTGAAAGGAGTTGTGAGTATTTCAGTCCTGAGAGGCTCTTTGTTTTCCTGTTGGGGGGCAGGAGGGGGACCCTGGATACCCTTGCTTTCTAATTTTTACTCATTCAGAAAGCAGTTTGGGGTCAGCCTGTCTGACCAAACTTGAGGAACATGATGCTGAACAGGGCAGGCCTCTCCAGCCCACTTAAGCCTGTTTGAGGAGTTAGCGGAACTGTGGGCATATCTGGTCAATGTCATCCTACAAGCGTTTGTAGTTTACACACGGGATCCAAAGAGAAGCAGAGCCTGTTTATATTTAGTGATAATTCATCTTCATGGGTTTATGAGTTGAGTCATTTTGGAACTCAGTCATTTCCTCACTTGTTTCTGCATGAGATCGAAGACTTTAAATGGTTCCACTTAACCTTAGCTGGTGCTCCTGGCTATACATCCTGTGTGCATTCCTCCCCTCCTGTCTGAAACATCATATTGCCTTTTCTTACTGTCCTTGTATTGGCAGACATTTCTGCAAGCGGGTATTTTGAAGCATTCCAAGTATAAACTGCTTGCGGAAGCCACATAGTTAGTTTGTGGTGAATTGGGATTAAAGCTAAGTTCTGGACTCCGTGGCTGTGGTTAGCTTTCAGTGGGGCTCCGTTCAGCTGGCCCTGTCTAGCCACCTCGGAAAAAGGCTTCTGCCAAGCCTGCTTGCTTTATGGCATTGAAAGCTATTTTCAAGTATTGTTCCCGAGAATACTGGGAACTTCACTGTTTTCGTGATACGGTTTATAAGCAAGGGATTTCCTATTAATTTCTAGGTTCAAGTTGAAAAAATTAAAACTCCTGAAGACCACATTGGTGCTGTACTTGAACGAGCAAAGCCAGAATATATCAGTAAGACATACAAGATTGATTCTTGGGAGAATGCTGAGGACTTTCTTGAGAAGCTAGCTTTCCGGACTGGGAAGCTATTAAAGGTGAGCCAGGGCTTTCGAGGATAAAGACTGATGCCTTGCACTGACCTGTGGTGTGAATCTTTTTTGTTGTGCCTTGGGTGAGAGGTGTGAAACTTATCAGGTAGGTGGTGAACCACTGGAACAGCTAAAATTCCTGCAGACTGGCAGGTGGTTTTGTTGTTTGAATTTAACTGGGAGTCTTTCTGTGATGTTTCAGGGTGGAGAGCCTGACTTGCAGACTGTGGGTAAAATGGTTCTCAATGACTGGCAGAGAGGGCGCATTCCTTTCTTTGTCAAGCCACCCAATGCAGAACCTCCAGCTGCCCCCCAGGTAAGAACAGGGTGGACCCACATCTTGGAAAGCTTAGTTACTAACATAGGTGTGGTGTCTTCTGATTACCTCCCTTTATGGAGTCTTTTTCTTTGGCGTAGGTATTTTAACAGCAGTGTCTCTGGTGCCAGAATGCTGTTGTCATGACCTTGTTGGGGGTTGGCATTTGGAGACTAGGAAGTAGTAGATGTTTGACAGAAGATCAGACAACTTTGCTAGGCCTTGAAAAAGAGGCTTCATTAAACGTAGGTGCTCTTGTGTATCTTTTCTTAATGTTTGAGGAGCAGAGGCATTCTCCAGATCACTTGGTTAACAAGTATGTATTAGACCCAACCTGGTGCCAGGCACGGGGCATACACATGAATGACAGAGGAGCGAGACACACTTGGTAGTCAGGGAAAGAAGTCTTTAGATTTGGGCTGGACTGAGAAGTTTTCCTGCCGTTCTGTTCCCTAACCCTGGTAGTGGACCCCACAAGGCTCCAACTTTAGTGCTTTGCTTTTCTATTTCTAGGATCTTTTTCAGGGCTCTGCCAATTTTCTCGAAGAGGTGGCTTTAAGTTTTACTTCCAAGCCAATATCATTTGGGTCCATATAGTTCTGGTTTCCTCTTACCTGTACTCCCTTCTAGAGTTTAATTTTCAGCTAGTTGTTGCCAGCTGGAATATCCAGCATTTCAGAATCAGTATACCTGAAACTGTTGTTTGATCCACTTTCTCCCCTCCACCAAACAACCATCTTCTTTGTATGTTGTCTTTCACTCATGATTCATTCAGAAAAATATATTGAGTTTCTCCTATGTGCAAGGCACTCTTCTGGCTCCTGGAGGGATTGCAGTGTAAAGCAGACAGAATTCCCTGCCGTCTTGCACTTATGTGCCAGTGGATCAGTGGTGATTTTTTCCCATACCAAATATGTTTTGATTTTCCATATCAGTCTTGTAATTTGCTGACACCACAGGGTGTCTAATAAATCAGCTCAGTTCTCACACTACCTCCTGGAGTTAACACAAACCCCATAGCTTAAGGGCTCATTCCTATAAGACTGCCCCTACTTAAGATGCCAATTGCAGACAGGGTTCCCAGGCTACCCACACTCCTGCCCAGCTGACTACAAATTTGGGGACCTCTAGCATAATTTGCTAAAATGTTTCTCAGAATTTAGAAAAGTGCTTTGTTTCTGTACAGTTAAGTGTTTCTAGGCCAGTGTAAGCCCTGGTAGGCCACATGGGGCTGTGAGTGCTGAGGCTGTCCCACACCAGCAGGCAATTCTCAGACTCCAGCAGAGTCCAAGAATTCAGCTCAATACTGGCCATATCTACCCAGAGACAGGTTACGAATTTAGTCTCCCAAGGCAGTGTCTCTGCTTCAACACTGGCATCAAGCCCCAGATAAGCCCATACTTCTGACCAGCCAGCTATAGACCAGATGTCCCCAGGCCCCTCCTCAGACTTCAGGTGCCTGTTGCAAGCCCACATTATTATCTGTGCACCTGACCAACTGCCTGTAAACCAGAGGTTCCCAGGACACTCTCCTCAGGATCCATTAATTAGCTAGAATGCCTAACAGAACTCAGGAAACCTTTAAATATCTAGATCCCTGATTTATTACAAAGGCTACAAGCAACAGCCAGATGGAAGAGCTGCCTTGGGCAGGTGTGGGGAAGAATCGAGGCGTGTCCATAACCTCTCACAGCATTTGCGCAAAATCTCCATGTGTTCACCTAGCCAGAAGCGCTTCCTTTTGGGGTTTTGTGGAGGCTTCATCACATAGGTGTGAAGAACTCATTGGCTGTTGGCAGTTGAATTCAACCTCCAGCCCCTCTCCCTCCCTTGAGGTTAGGAGGGTGGGACTCTAAGTTCCAACCTTCTCTTCTGTTGGTTTCTGCAAACTACCAGCCCCCTTCCTCATATGTTTTCCAAAAGTTACATTCATTAACAGACAAAAACACCTTTAATACTGAACACTTAAGAAATTCCCAGGCTTTTGTGGGAGCCTGGGTCAGGAACTAGATGAAGACCAAATGTATGTGAGAAATGCGTTTCGGTCATCTGAATATTACACACATGTGAAGCCCTAGTAAGAACCCCATGCATACTTCTCTTTGCCCCCTTATCTAAAACAGGTCACCGTCCCCCACTGGTGCTCATTCTGGCTTCTCCTCACGAGGTTCCCCTTTCTTTTTTTTTTAATAGAGGCATGTTTTATTTATTTGTTTGTTTGTTTGTTTTTGTTTATACAAGCACTGGGTACAGTCAGAAGCGCGGGAGGGCGAGAGAATTCACCAGAGCCAGAGCGGGGAGCAGAGCAGGCAGAAGGACCGAAGTACACTGCTGAGGGGAGCAGCGGGCGGCAGGAGAGGTCTGCGCGCCATGTGGGACCCTCCTTCAGTGGCCGGGGAGCAGCCGGGGATCGAACCGGCGCTGCAGAGGCTGCGGGCAGCTTCGCAACCCAGCGCTCAACCGCTGCGCCACCGGGGAGGTCCGGTTCCCCTTTCTTATGTCAGACCCTGCCTTTGCTTTCTCGACACCTCACCTTAGTCCGCAACAGCTTCTAACTTGTGCTATATAAATCCTTATTACTTATCAGAAAAATCCTTATTACTCATCAGACTTTTCTTGTGTAGTGTTGTGTGCTTATCTTGTATGTGCTTATCTCAAGAACCTCCATTCCTTACACCCCTCAGGGAAGACAGTGGGGTGGAGGAGTCTTATTTGTGTGCAGCAAGTAGTTGATTTGCTTTATTGGGTAAATCCTCTTAGAGCTGGCATATACTTTGAAACCACAGATACAGTTGACCCTTGAACAACATGGGGTTGAAATGCAAGGGTCCACTGGCAAGAGAATTTTTTTTTAATCCTTGGCTTCTGCACTTGCAGATTCAACCAGTCGCAGATGTCAGTCTGAAAATGCAGAACCCAGATATACAAGGGTGACTTTGAGGCATTGTTCAAGGGTCAACTCTATGTTCCCTTGATCCTTTCCTACCAGGTTCTGGGTTTAATGCACAGTGGCATAGAGTAGATTGACAATGTGACTCAAATTTGAGTTTCAGTATTTCTCCTTAGTCCTGAGGAGAGAGCACTGTGTCACTTGAGAGCTAGGTGTAAGTTCAGAAATTCAGTTTTTATTTTCTGGTTCCTTTTCTCTCCCCTACCACTACTCCTTTTCTGTCCTGAATAGCTTTCATCTTCATCTTTGGAAGCGGCCCCAGAAACAACTCAGAACAATCCAGAAGCAGAAATCATGGAACCTGTAGGTGAAGAGGAAGAATCTGCCACTGAGAAGGAAAAAGAAGAGAACAGTCACTGTGATGCGGACTCGGAAATGCAGCAGATTCTTGCACGAGTTCGGCAGAACTTTGGCAAAATCAACGTTGTGCCTCAGTTTTCTGGGGATGACCTGGTTCCTCTAGAGGTGTCAGATATTGATGAAGAGCTTGAGAGCTTTTCTGCAGAGGAGGAGGAACAGGAGTGTCCAGGAGATGAGGAGGAGGAGTCAGCCCCAGAGTCTCAGGAAGAAGCCCAGGGAAGCGACACCAAGGCAGTCATTCAAGCCCTGGATGAAAAGATTGCTAAATACCAGAAGTTTTTAAACAAAGCCAAAGCTAAAAAGTTTTCAGCAGTCAGGTAGTACTTTCATTTTCTCACAAATTTCAGTTTGCTTGTTTCTTTTCCAGAAACTTTCAAGGAGTGGTGTTTCAGTAGGCAGGGCCAGGAGGGGGAGTTACTGCCATTTCAAAAATGTGGTCTGTAAATTTTCAGACTTTAGCTAATTAAAAGAGAGGCTTTGCTGTTCATTCTTTTGGAAATTGTTAGGGAGCTGCAGGCATTGACTTTTATTGACTGATAGCTGTGTAAAGACAAGTGGGGTTCATTATTGATCTGTTAGGGTCTCCAAGTCAGCACGTGCTTTGGGCAGTTGAGATCGTTGGACAACTGCATCACTTTGTTTTCTGTTTTAGAATATCCAAGGGACTAAGTGAAAAGATTTTTGCAAAATCAGAAGAACCAAGAAGAACCACTGAAGAAGATGGAGAAGATTCAGGTAAAGTTAAATGATTTAGCTTGTTTAGTTTTGAGTTGCATCTTTAGAACTTTGGCAAATCTCAGTTTAATATCCAGATTATCTTTGTGTGATCATTATGCACATAGGTATCTATGATATCTGGCAAATTACCTTGGTTCCACATACTATTTATAAGTTTGATTATCCACCTTTCATTCTGTTCATTTCTTAGAATTAAATTGGCAAGTCAGATAGCTTCCTTCTTTAAAAAAAAAAAGTACATTTTAACCATGTATTTCAAGGGTGATTCCACACACAGATTTTTTTTTTGGTGCAGGCGACGTTAGTTTATATGTTTATATCCCCCACTGGACTAATAGCTTCCAAATCAAGAGTGTCTTTCCTGCTTCCCTCTGCTTTCTGTTCATCACCATCCATGTACAGGCCTTCCAGTCCCTCTGACACAGCAGGCTCAGTCCCACCTTTCGATTCACAGAAAAACTTATACAGAAAATCCCTGTTTCTTTTCTGTGTTATGTATTGTTTCCAGTGCCTACCAGAAAGGGAAAGAAGAGGAAGGCACCGAGGGAAGAGGAACATTCAAATAAGACTCGCGGGAAACTGACATCGAAGGAAGTATGTGTTTCTGTAGCCCTTGTATATGGAAAGTAGGGAGGAGAAGTCCAGTCCTCGAGACCCAGTCCTCCTGAAACCAGGGGCCTGAAGTTCAGTGCAAGGAACCCTGGTCCTGATGTTAAATAGGACAAGAGGGGCCCCCTGGACGAATGTCCTTGTTACGTCCTCTGTGTTAGAAGTTCCCAGTCACTGTCCTCAGGCACCTGAACCGTTCTCCAGAAGGGTCCGTTTTACCCAGCCTAGGGAAACAACAGGAGGAGCGGCGTAGGCAGAGGGGTCGTTGCCCTCTGGACAGCTTTGGGACTGGGCAGCTAGCAGCTGGCGTGAGCCTTCCTGGGAGGTGCAGAGTTGATTTTTGGAAGTGTTCAGCCTAGAACTGGAGACCACGTGTGAGGGGTGCTGTGGGGAGGATTCCGGTATTGGATGAGGTGGACCCCAGTGACTGACTCAGTGTCACGATGGAAGTGCAAACTCAGGTCTGAGAGGGGAGCCTTCCTTCGTCGTCAGCGCCGTGTCTGGTGCCCGTGGCAGTAGCGTGGGAAGTGGGGCAAGGAAACAGGGGGCCTATTTTATGACTTCAGTGTTTGTTTTTTTTTGCCCCTTTTTTATAGCGGAGGCGAGCCGCACGCCAGCAGCAATCCAAAAAAGTTGGTGTGCGCTACTATGAGACACATAATGTGAAAAACAGGAACAGGAACAAAAAGAAGACCAATGACTCAGAGGGACAGAAACACAAACACAAAAAATTCAAACATAAGCAGTAACATTTAAAATGTTGTTTATTAAATTATATAAAAATATGCAATTGTGTTTGTGTTCTTCACGCCCAGTTGGCATATCTAAAGCCATAATATATTTGTGTTGAGGTCTGACAGTTGAAGTCTTTCACCAGTGCTAGTGCAAATAAAAATAAAACCCCCACGCCCTCAAGGAGTTCCATGCGCCAGTCCTTTGGCCCTTCTGATGCTTGAATTGACCCTCTCAGTTCCTCCAGGATGTAACTGCTATAAATGCGTGACAGAGATGAGGTCTGTAACGTGAAAAGTGTGGCCTCTCTTTTCTATTAGCAGTTTGGAACAGAAATGTAAAGGAAGGACGTGTAAAGGATGTAGTACCACGGCCTGGGCTTTAAGGTAGGGAAAGCCTGCGGCCGCTTCTGTGGTCTCTCATCAAGTCTGTGAAGTGGCCAGTGCTTTACTGTTGCCAAGTCATGGAACCGGCTCATCTCCGTGAACACCGGCCTTTCTCAGGAGAGTGACACTCCACACATTTCCAGGGAGTCTTATTGAATTTCTCTGGATACCTGGTTAAGGGTAAAGGCTGTGACTTCAGATTTGAGATCAGTGTATAAGGCACATTCAGCTTGGTGAAACACAGCTCTTCTGGTGGGGCTGTGCTGCTTCCAGTGAGCCTTGACGCCCTGACCAGCATGGGTGTCAGGGGAGGGTGCCACTAAAGAGACCCTCTTTCGGGGAAGAGTACACTTGAGGCATCTGACCAAATGTGCCTTTAGCATATGTTACACGAAATGTGACTGAAAGATGCAAATCACCCAACTTGCCACCCTAGCCCACCCTAGTCCTGAATTAGATTTATTTTACTAATTCAGTCTTCTGGGTTTACCAAACAAGAGTACCGAGCCTTCAAAACTTCTGAGTTTAACTTAAGAGGAATAGTAAAACACAGCTGAATACAGGCCATGGCCCAATCATTAATAATTAGAACTGCTTATGCGGTCTGGGCACCTCTCCACTTGCTAATTAAACGCAGCTAGTTAGAGGGACGTAGGCCAGGGTTTGGTCTTCTGCAGAAAAAGGTGAACAAATGAGATTAGTGGTGGAGGAGGAGCCGAGATGCCAGCAGCTCACAGTGAAGGTTGTGAGTTGTACTTCTTGCCAGCAAACATTTGCTTCCTCAAAAGCCATGAGATTGACTCAACCTTTGCCTCCTCACCTAAGCAGTCTACAGTAGGAGGAAGGGGTCCAATTGACTTGGCAGGTAAGGAGATGAGAACGATAAACCCAGAACTCCAAAATGAGTTACTGGAACTGAACTGGGGTAGGGATGATGAAAAGCCATCAGATAAGGGAAAGTAAGGCCAGAGAAACCCAACTTAAGGCAGAAGATAAAATGGAGACACAAGCAGTTCCATTTGGTCAGAAATGCGTAATGGCGTGGAGATGATCAGAGTAATTGCTTCAGTAGAAAGGGGTGAATTCAAGCCTTACTGTTTGAGTTGGCAAATCCCAAGGTTGGCCAGTAAGCCACATACAGGGGCTCTGGCCTGTGCCACCTTCCTTTGCCCGGCCAGGATCCTGGCTGATGGGTTTCATGACTTGTGACATATGAAGGTGGTGATCAGGGCAGGGATGGCTTATTCACTCAGGAAACTAGCTTTTTATTACAAAGGGCTTATGATGGGGCAGTAGAGCTTGCTGAGACCCATATGGAAAGTATCACTTCTTTGGTGCAATAATGCCTTCCAGTTGGGCCTGAAAAACAAAAACAAACTCCATTAATATTTGAAACTTGCAGCCGAACACAAATAGCTGAGAGGTGATTAAAGCCTGGGAAGAAGAACCCAAATGCTGCCACTCCAAGTGTTTTTTCCCTTCATTCCCAACTCCATATTTTCTAGATTAACTGGTTTCTGTCTTGGCATACGGTCTTGCTACATGAGGAGAAACCAGAGCTGTCCTGGTTTCCATACAGTAATGGCTCAGTGTCGAATATAAAGCATAGAAAAGGAAATTGAATAAAAGTTGTTGAAATCATGGTTTTTCATGGCTCAGATTTCAGGCCTGCATACGTTCGGCTAAGTTAAACATTTGGCTCTCTGGTTTGGGAGCCTGGGAGCTCTGTGCTGGGACGAGAGGTTTGGGAAACAGCAAATTTTCAGCCACTGAGACAACTTGACACCCAATTAGAGGAAATTGCTGCCAGTGAGTAGGGAGCTGTCTATCTCGTATGTAAAGCTCAAGGCACTTGGGAGTTCCTCTGCCGCTGCAGCCAGTCAAATAATTCACTGTCATGGTATGTGGACAGATCTTTGAGTTAGGTCTATCCTGGGGACTGCAAACATGGCTGCATTTGCAGTGCAGCTTTGAACCAATAAAAATAACTCACTTCTAAAGAATCCTTCGCCCTGGGGATTACAGGGTTGCTTGTAAAAATTGGAAAGATGCCAAGGTATTCTGCTTAGCTCTTGTCGCCAGTACCATAGGAGGAACTGAGGAATTTGGGCTTATGCTAAAGAAATACGGCAGATAAGGCAGGCAGCTTCAGAGGCTGCCAAGTAAACAGATTCACATCTGGCTGTGAAACTTTCTAGTTTTTCTTTGTTAAACTTTTCAGAGACAAGGAAATTGCTGTTACTGTCCATTAGTTAATACAAGTCCCTAATCTCAAACACCTGATTGCCTTGGCGTGTAGCGCCAACAAGCCTGTCAACCACGAGGTGAGCTTTCTGTGGGACTTGGAGGAGAGGGAGATACCACCGCGGGGACAGCCACTAAGTGTGAATAGGCCACCCACCTCGAATCAGCCGGTGTCATGACCACCTGGCGACCTTGTTGCCAGCCCCACACCCCCACAGTTTCTGATTCAGATTTGGGGTGGACCCAATAGTTTGTGTTTCTAAAAGTTGCCCGTATGAAGGTGATTTTGATCTGTGGCCCAACCTTTGAGAACCTTTGGACCAGACTCTAGAGAGCCTGGAGTTTCAGAGGTCCGAAGCCTGGCCCCTTGCCCAGCTCTTTCCACCAGTTCCCCTCCCTCCCACTAGCGCAGCTGGATAAAAATGTGCCACTCAGAAAACGGGTATGAGGAAAAGCACCTACCGCTGAGTTCTCTCACCACGCCCTTGGGGAATCTTCCAGATTTGAAGTGACTCCCTCCCAAAGGGCCTTCCCTGCCCATCCCAAAAGCAGTGTCACAGAGGACAAGTGGGTAGGCACAGCCACAAACCCGCTGAAGAGTCCAGCCCACTCGGAAGGCTCCAAGATAGCAGCCGTGACAAGAAGACACTTGGCTCACTTTTTGCCATATCTACCTCACCCTGTACAGCTTTTGTCCAAAGGGACAAAAAATCCCCCCATTGGGTGCCAGGCTGAGGTGTCATGGGGACTTAAGAGTCGAGAGCAGAGCCCCTTCCGGAGCTGGATGGATGGAGAATCTGGGAAATGAACCCTCAGTTCGCTCCTCTCCCCCCACCCCCCCCGGAGGCAGCTTCCTCTTCTCTGGCAGTGCCTGTGGACCACTATTTAAGTCATCAGCGGAGCAGGAGCCGCTGCTCGGAGATTACCTTCAGCTGCTGATTCGTCCGCTTTAGGAACTGAATCTCCTCGTTGTGCTTCTTCTCCTCCACCTGTCTCCGCTCACTCTCCCGCCTCTCGGTGGCCTCACATTTTGCCTTCTGCTCGTTCACTTGTCTCTCCAAATCTTTCTTTTCTGTTTCCAATTCTGCAATCTGAGGACAGAACCCCCAGTCATCCTGGGAAGTCACCAAGTAGATGGGGTGGTGTGAGCTCTGGGAGGAGAGGACTTCGGGCGCAGCTGGCCGAGGGGAGACATCACGGGGTCTGCACTGCCACCCAGTGGGAGGTCAGTGACTGGCATGGCAGGTCCACAGAGGAGAGAGCTCTGCAGTGCCCAGGCTGGCTTTTACACCCTAAAACAAGGGGGCTTCACTGGGGTAATGGGAGAGCACCCTAAGAGACCAGAATTCAGTGCGGGAATGACAACCAGGCTGCTCTGAGGCTGACAGAAAGGTTCACCGAGGGCCAAAGCCTCATGGCAAACCCCACTCACTTTCCTCTCCATGTCTGACTTCCCCTGTTCGGCCTGCAGTGCCTTCCTCATGCCAAATGCCACGCTGCTCTCGTACAAGGTCTGGTAGGCTGCGATGGTCATGCGGATCTCGTCCCGGACTCGCAGCAGCAGCAGCCCCCTCTCCGCACAGTTGATGGTGACCTCGCGGATCAGCTCATCTTCCAACGCACACACATGGAGGTCAGAGAGAGCAGGCAAGAGGGGCGAGGTACCTTGTCACTGCCCACCCACCTCAGTGGGCCCAGGAGCCTTGCCATGTTGCCAGGCAATCAGCAAGGCCAGTTTGGCCAGGGCAGAGACTGGAGCCCAGGTTGCTTTGCAGCTGTGGGCTCCTCTTCTGTTCTCAGACAAAAATTGGGTACCAGTCAAAGACATTTGAATTTTCATTTGGAGATGGTGGTGGTTTTAAAGCAGCTGGGAAATCCTACCTGCCCCCTTGACTAGACCGGGATGGGGCTGAGATGGCAATGTCTAGAGCTTGCCCACCCATCTCCTCCACAAAAGCTGACCTGGAGGGCAAACCATAAATCATACTCAGTCTGAAGAGAGTCTGCCAGACCCTGCACCTGCCCTCTGGCTTGAAGAAGGCAGATGGGGTCTACATAGAACAATGGGATTGGGTTGGGGGGTACACATCTGACACCAGCACTTGAGGAAGGAGATCTCAAACCCCTTGTGCCTTGGTTAACAGCAAATTACCCTGAAACACTTTTCTGGTCCAAGGGCTAAATGTTGGGTGGATGTAAATATAGAGCATTAACGTTCCTGATTTAAAAATTTACACGTGCTTATTATAGCTGTCTTTGGGAAACAGAATGGGTGTCCTCATCTTACTCCAAACATCTGCTAAGGGATGAGGAACCAGGCACTCGGGAAAATGGTGACAGGCAAGTGAGTACTGGTCGGGGGAAGAGGGCACACAGGTGGCAGTTCCTGAGTGGCTTGGGTAGCAGGAGATTAAATGATTACAGGATGGGGTAGTCTGCAGTTTAGGGTTACTCAGGGCTCAGATCTGAATGAAGGGGATGGAAAAGGAGGCAGCGGGGGGTGCAATGTTCATGCTCACCAAAACACTGTGAGTAGAGCTCCCTGCGCACGGGGCAGATGCCCGTCTCCCTGGCCTGCCGCTGCTGCAGCTTCAGGTCCAGCTGCTCCTGCAGGTGCACCACGTCCATCCTGGTGCTGGGGGCACTGGACACCTGCTGGATCCATAGCTGTGTGTCTTCCACCCACTCCCTGCAGCACAGACAGAGCCAGGCTGAGCAAAGCCCACTGACCAGAGCGGGTCCTCAGGACATGAGCAGAGAGGGCCCTTCGAGTTGTCGGCCTGAGCAGGAGTGAGGGCACCTCTGTCACCGAGTGACTGAATCCACCCTCTCTTTTCCCTGGGGAGTGGGAGCTTCAAGGTCACCATAGGACCCCTACCTTAGGACTAGGCAATCTTCACTCTCCCATGGCCCTCTGGGGAATCATCACCCATGTTCCAGATCTTACCCTTCTGACAAGGTTGAGGACAGATGGATGGTCAATGCTCCTTGAAGTAAACAGAAGGCCCCGTGGAAATTCTAATGTGTGGGGTGAACCATTCAGGGTACCACAAACTTTGTACAGTCAGGAAGAAGTGAATGTGTGTACTGGGGAGGCACACACATGGGGAGGTTCTCGACAGTGTGCACCTTTATGGGCCCCTCCAAAGTGAGCCTGAGACACCACTAGGTTCTAGAATCACAAGGAGGGAACCTGAGGGCAGAACTGCATGGGGGAGAGGACATCCACACATTAGTGCAAAGGAATTAACTGAGCCCTGCCACCCAGCCTTTGTCATTCGTCATGAAGGAGACTGCAGTCTCTTTTATAGTGTTTCCCCCCCTTTTTTTAAAGATTTATTTATTTATACAAAACTGGGGTACAGACCAGAGACTTGGGAAGGTGAGAGGATTCACCAGAGACAGAGTGGGGAACAGAACAGGCAGATGGACCAAAGACACTGCTGAGGGGAGCAGCAGGCGAGATAGGAGAGGTCTGTCATGCCATTTGGGAATCTCCCTGGCTGGCCAGGAATCGAACCCGCGCTGCAGAGGCTGTGGACAGCTTCACAGTGCTGCGCTCAACTCACTGTGCCACTAGGGAGGCCCCGTGTTTCCTCCTTTTAAGCTGAACTGTCAACTTATTACATAAACATCACCAAAAAGACATGTCAGATAGCAATACACGTGGCTGCAGAAGAAAGCAGCAGGGCGAGGGGTTTTGAAGAAGGGAGAAGTGCCCTATTATAGGGATTCTCAAGAGGCCCTCCGCGAGCAAGACCTGAGTGAAGAAACAAAGAGTGTCTTATTCCACAGCTGTGAGAACAGCAACTGTGAATGTCCCTAGGCCCAAGAGTTATTGGACCTGTTTCTGACTCAGCAAGCAGAGGCCTCAGGTCATCCGGAGAAACACAGGAGATCAGATCACAGGTATAGCAGAGACCAGATCATGCCAGGCCTTCCAGGTCATTGTAAGGACCTTGGATTTTAGTTTGAGGGAGATGGGAACCATTAAAGAGCTTCTGGCAGGAGACTGGTATGATCTGACATGATTTAGGGGGTGTGGAGATAGACTGTGCAAGCAGAGTGGACATAGGGCTTTCCGACAGGAGACAGCTGCAGTAGTGCTGGTGACAATGAGTGACGAGGAACGAGATGGGAGAAGCAAAGGTGGTGAAGAGCGGTCAGACTCGGGATATAATTTGAAGGTGGAGCCAAAAGAATTTGAGGAAGGGTAGAACCCGTGACATGAGAAGCAAAAGGAATGATGAAACATGGACTGAGCCCCTGGTGGAAAGACGGGGCAACGTGTGGAAGGTGACAAACTGATATAATTTGCACTTTTGAGTTTGAGATGTCTGCTAGACATCTTCACAAAGATAATGAGGCAGTAGAACATATGGGTCTGGAGTTTATGGGAGAGAACAGTCCTGGGAATGCAGACTTGGGAGCCCTCAGTATTTTTTTTTTTTAGAGACTTATTTATTTATACAAGAGCTGGGGTACAGGTCAGAGGTGCCAGAGGGTGAGAGAATCCACCAGAGACAGAGCGGGGAGCAGAACAGGCAGACAGACCAAAGACACTGCTGAGGGGAGCAGCAGGCGAGGCAGGAGAGGTCTGCCCGCCATGTGGGTTTCTCCCTGGCTGGCCAGGAATCAAACCCACGCTGCAGAGGCTCGGACAGCTTCAAAGTGCTGTGCGCAACCCGCTGTGCCACCAGGGAGGCCCGGGAACCTTCAGTATTTAAAGCCATTGCCTGGGTGAGAGCTCTCAGGAAATGAGGGGAGATAAAGAAGACAGCTCCCCCCACCCTCACAGCATCCAGCCACCTGTAAACTCTGGGAGCTCTGGGATGCTGTGAGGAAATCCCAGGCAAGAACAGAAGTCAGGTGCCTCTTCCCATATGCCCCAGTTCTGGGATGCAAAAGTCTGGGCCTTCTCCCAACCGCTGCTTCTACTTTGTTTTTGTTTTTTACCTTGGGGGCAGGATAGCGTTCAAGATTTCTTCTGCCTGCTTTGTAGGATCTGGGACCCAGGAAGTTGAGGGGAGCTTGGTCTTTGGTGGCTGTGGGACTGGGCCTGAGGGTCCTGGCTGCTGAGAGCTGACTTTCAGTGGCCGAGCCTGTAAGAGAGGGACAGGTTAGGGCTGGAGGTGATTCACTCAGGGGATCCCACATATTCTGGTCTCTGGTTTGCTCCAGGTCTCCAGCACATGTTTTCCCTGTTACCACCTCTCACCCTGTTACCATCTTCTCAGCAAAAGTGACTTTTCAGAGCTGAAGAAAACCACAAAGAATGTCTGATCCCACTCCAACCCAAATCTTGTATCTCCTTGAGCCAGTGGTTCTAGCATGGGTGCTCCTCATCTGCTTTCACACCTCTGGTGATGGCGCACATTACCAGATCTGTCCTTGGACCCGGCTATCATGAGCGAGTGAGTCCCTCCCACATCCCAGTGATTTCCTTTCCCATCCTAAATCTGCTCTTTGGGGTCACCCCACATCTGGGCTTCTTCTATCATTCTCTCATCCTCTTTCCCAGGTCCCAATTCCCTTTACTCCCAGTGGCTGCAGCCTTTGTCCCTTGAGATTCCGGACCCTCAACGCGGGGATCTGTTTTTCCACATGGGACTTTCCAGCCTCCCGCGGTCCCTGAGATCCGTTCTTACTTTGGGGCTCCGTTTCTCTGTGTTCCGGCTGACTAACACCGGGGTGTCGTATTTGAGCAAAGAGTCAGCAGGGGGAATCATGGCGGCGGCGGGGGTAGAAATTCAGCAGCTGACACTTCAGTCAGGGCCTTGTTTGCCGTCACCATGGAAACCTCGTCCGGCCCCATGGCCTGGGCGGGGCTTCAGAGTGGGGCGGGGCCAGCAGCGCGAGAGTTTCTGTGTAACCTTCGAGAAAAATTCTCCTGTTGCTTAACTTGTCTGTCGGCTCACTGCTCATCCCTGTACTCTTGAAAGCAGGGAAAACATGTGTTTGCGTACCCGCGCTGCGTGTAACTCGCGATTTCAATGAGGTAGGCAGTCACCTTTGCCGAATGCCACTTATGTCACCTGCAAACACCGAGTCATCTTGTTGCAGAAATAAATTCTAGCCTTTTACCCAGGCAGGGGAAGAACAAGCGGTACTTTAAGAATGGTGAGGTCAGGAAAGCTTTGTTACTCATGCATGAGGCCTCAGACCTGGGTAGTCCCATAAGGTCTGAGCACTGGTCTAGAGACAAAGAGTTTCTTTTATACACAACCACTTTACATTGATAAAGTTGGTTAGTTAGCATACAAATTCTTGACACAGGAAAAGGGGAAGGATACAGATCTTCCAGGATGACCTGGGAGATCAATCAGCCTAGCAGGCTGCCAGACTTTGTTTAGATATGCTTATTAAAGAAGCAAACTTATTATTTATTTTACATTTCCAGGTCTATGACTCTTTAACAGGGAAAGATTTCTTATTTCTTTTTCTTAGCAGTTCCCTTTTAATCTGACTTTTTTTTTTAAAGATTCATTTATTTATGCATACAAGAACTGGGGTACAGGCCAGAGGTGTGGGGGGGTGAGAGGATTCACCAGAGACAGAGCGGGGAACAGAACAGGCAGACTGACTGAAATACACTGCTGAGGGTGTTAGGGGGAAATGATGTCCTGAGTTAATCCAACAAGGGGAGCAGCTGCACCATGTGGGTTGCTCCCTGGCTGGCTGGGGATCGAACTTGTGCTGCAGAGGCTGCGGACAGCTTCATAGGTTGCGTCTTAACCCCTTGCGCCACTAGAGAGGCCCCTCAGCTGACTCTTCAATGAAGTGCTAGGGAAGACTCTTGAAGGAATCTAAAATTCTCAGAGGTTCAAAAAATTTTATTTTTAAATAAATGGAGACATGACAACATAATAGTTTAGGAACAGAGAGAAAAAGACTAATAATTTGGCCCCGGGCTACCATTTATAACTGCATTATCTTTCCTTCGTATTTCCAAACGGAAGCGTCACCACAGTCTGAGCACAATTCCGTGTCCTCTTTCCTTGGCTTCACAGGCCAGGGCTTGTTCACTCGTCATAGACTGTGTGAACAGCGTTGTGGAGGACATAACGTCCATCGATTAGCTAAACAATTCCATACTACTGCGCTTTTAGGGTGTCAGCGATTACCAATAACAGGGCAGCAAACACCGCCAGGGTCACTTTCCCCTAGAAGTTCGCCTTTGAAATTTAAAACTCCCGCCGAGGGACGACGGCTCCGCCCACTGAGCCGTCACGTGTTTAGCCTCTGCGCCGCGAGGCATTCTGGGGGAACCACTCACCCCGGAAGCGGAAGTCGGAGGTCAACCTCGTCATTTCCTTCAGTGAAAGGAACGCAACGGATCTCTTTTTGCTCCTCTCAGTTGCTCGGCCGGTTTCTTAGAATGAAGGAGGTGAAAAGCGAGCGGGAGCGGGGAAGCCGGCGGAGGCACCGGGACGGGGACGTCGTGGCGGCGGCGGCGACGGTGGTGGTGAAGCAGGAGCGCCTCAGCCCCGAGTCCGCGCCTCCCGCCCAGCGGCGCCCGGACTCCTCCGGCGGCAGCCCGTCCCCGCCGGCCGGCGAGCCGGGCCGCGCTGGTCGCCGCGGGAGCCGCGTCCGAGGAGGCAGCCGGTACGTGGGACGCGGCCCCGTGTGGACTTCACGTTGGGCTCCCCGAGAGAGGAGGGCAGGGTTAGCGGCTGAGGCGCCTTGAATGCCGAGCGCCGCGGCTTGGGCTTACTCCTGCCGCGCTGGAGGGGGCTCGGTCGTGCCTGGTGGTGAGGACGGTTGACTTCACTGCGTTTTTCACACACCTCCCAGCGTGTCGCTCGTCTTTAGGCGCCAGACGCCTCGTGGGCAGGACCCCGCTCTCGCTGGCGTGCACTCCCTGGTCGTTTCAGTTGCAAGGAAGGCGTTTCCTCGTCTGCCTGCATATCGAGTGAGGAGGTTGTCTTTCCAGTGATCTGCTCCCCAAAGTGTCGTGGGTCTAGGCGACCTTACGTGATAGATATTCTGGGGTGAAAAGTTCTCTTGCGACGCGTCCATATTTATTCACACGTTCCACACAGTCTTACTAAATAGCTAGTGTGGGTTAAAGACTCTTTGGTACTGGGGCCTCGAGAGTGAATAAGAGAGAGGCCTTTATCTGTCGAAATAGACGTGCTCTCGTCCTGAGACAGAATAACAAATAAAGAAAATAGTTTCGGGGCCTCCCCTGGTGGCGCGGCGGTTGAGCGTTGGATTGCGAGGCTGCCCGCAGCCTCTACAGCGCCAGTTCGATCCCCGGCCACCGGTGAGAAAAAAAAAAAAGAAAAGAAATAGTTTCGGCTAGTAACGAGTGCTAGTGCAAGTAAAAATGTGACAGTGAGAGGTTGGAGGAAAGTGGCAAGTTTGTGAAAAGTGCCATTTGAGCTGAGATCTGAATAACAGCAATAATCCAGCCTTGCGAAGATCCAGGCAGAGGAAACATCCCATTCAAAGAACCTTAAGTGGAATTAATTGTAATTGTTCTAGAACTTGGTGGGGGGGGGGAGATCCAGTGTTGTGATTAAGGAGAGTGGCAGGGATGAGGTGGAAAAGGGGGGAGAGCTAGAGGACTTGCGGATGGATTGAATGTGATTACTGAGATAGCAAAAACTGGGAGAGGAAAGGATTTTGAGGGGCTGGGAATCAAGGGTTGTGTTGTCTGAGTGAGGAGGATCACAGAGGCAGTTATGTATGTGGGTCTAGAACTCAAGGTGGATGTTAGGACCAAGAAAGTGAAGCCCCTCACTCCTCTCTTATGATCATCAGAGACCTTCACAGATGTGTTTGTGTTAGTAGGTAAACCTGGTACTTGAAGCTGATTTGTATGGGGGAAGGGAAATTGAGATAAAATCCTGTGTGTACCGTGCTCTGAAAAGGTCCCCAGCAAAAAAAAAAAGTAAGACCTCAGGGAGAAGAAGCAAGTCTCCCCGGAGCAAGAGAAGCCGAAGTCCTCACCACTCAACAGTTAAAGTGAAGCAGGTAAGATGTTTTGCTACTGGATCCCTATTTAGAGCCTCTTCCTGCCATATCTGAGGCGTGTTGTGTATGTGTTCACCTGTACCCATGGTGGGCTTTTTAAAAACTGGGCTTTATTTTTTTCCCTTCTTGTTTAAGCTTAATTATATTTTGAGGCAATTGCTAATTTATATGCAGTTGTAAACAAATGATTCAGGGGTTTACTCTTGACCCTGTTTTTCCTAGTGGTAACATCGTAGAGAATTGCGGTACAATATCACATCAGTATAGTTGAGATAGAAAACATTCTATCACAAGGATCCCTCCTGTCATCCTTTCATAGTCACATGCACCTTCCTCCTCTGCTTAACCCTCAACTCCCCCAAACTTCTAATCCCTTCATTCCTATAATGTCACTTCAAGAATGTTACATGTGGGCCTCCCCGGTGGCGCAGCGGTTTGAGCGCTGGGTTGCGAAGCTGCCCGCGGCCTCTGCGGCGCCGGTTCGATCCCCAGCTGCTTCCCGGCCACCGGAGGAGGGTCCCGCAAGGCGCGCAGACCTCTCCTGCCGCCCGCTGCTCCCCTCAGCAGTGTACTTCGGTCCTTCTGCCTGCTCTGCTCCCCGCTCTGGCTCTGGTGAATTCTCTCACCCTTCCGCGCTTCTGACTGTACCCAGTGCATGTATAAACAAACAAACAAATAAAGAAAGAAAGAAAAAAAAAAAAAAAACATGCCTCTATTAAAAAAAAAAAAAAAATGTTACATGTGTGAAATCAAACAGTATGTAACCTTTTAGGTTTTAATTTTTTTCACTCAGCAGAATTCTTTGGAGATTAATGCAGGTTGTTGCAGCTACAGGTTTTCCAACTACCTGCAAGTAGAATATTCCTATTTGGTGTGATTCGGTTGGTGATTTTTCGGGTCTGGGAATGCTGTTGTCATTAATTTATATGGAAAGTTTTTTTGAATGTTTCCAGACACCAAAAATAATCTACCAAATCATACCGAATGGAAACATTCTACTTTCGGGTAACCTGTATCAGTTCACTCATTCCCTCATTTCTCTTACTGCCAAGTGGTATCCAAGGGTATGGATTTAACCATTTGCCCATTTAAGAACATCTGGGTTGTTTTGGGCTCTTATATATAAAGCTTCTATATAACCATTTGTGTACAGGTTTTTGTGTGAACGCAAGATTTAAGTTCTTTGAGATAAATACTCAGGAGTGTAACTGCTGGGTTCTGTATGGTAGTTGCATGTTTAATTTTTTAAAAGAAATTGCCAGGCTCTTTTCCAGAGTGCTTTTATTAGTTTGCTACAACTTTCATAACAAAATAGCACAGACTGGATGCCTTAAACAACAGAAGTTAATGTTCTGAAAAGTTCTGGAGGCTAGCAGTCAAAGATCAGGGTGTCAGCGGGTTTGGTTTCTGCTGAAGCCTTTCTGGCTGGCCAGTGGCTATCTTTTCAGGTGTGTCCACACATGGCCTTTCCTCCCTCTTACTCCTCTTGTGAAGATACCTGTCATATTGGATTAGGGCCTCAACTCTCATCTTAATCATTTTTTAAAAGAAGTGATCTCTGGAAAACCCAAACAAAAATATTACATTCCGACATGTGGGAGTTGGGACTTCAAAAATTTTCGAGGTGAGGGCACACGACTTGGTCTATAACAGTGGGTGTATCATTGTATATTCCCACCTGGAAGTGAGACTATAATTTCTTTGTATCTTCACCAGCATTTGCTGTTGGCATTGCTTTTTATCTTAGCCATTCTGATAAGCCATTCTGTGATTTTAAGCATTTCTCTGGTTGCTAATGAACATCTATTTGTTTATTTTTTTGCCACCTGTGCACATGTTCAGGATCGCTTTACCCCTTTCCAGCCTTGCTCTTACATTCAGGACTCCCTCTTGAAGTTTGATGCTATGTTTATTAATAAGAACAAACTTGTCTTTGGTGTTTATTAGTTTTCTTCACCTGAAAATTGGTAATTTTTTTTGCCATTTTTCTGTTGAATTGTTTTTATTATTGACTTATTAATTTATTTTATGCTGTGAACATTTTCTACTGGGTTTCAATTTTGAGTCTTTTAATAAGTCATTTTAATTTTTTCATATTTTTAAAAAAGTCTAATGTTACATGTTATACAGGTTTCTTCTGATAAGTCTTGCCTATTTTTGTTATTTCTACTTTTTACATATGCTTCCCTTTAAGTTTGCCTGTAGGTACTCATGTTTCTAGGGCTCTGAACATGGGCTTTGATGTTTGTAGAGCTGTAGTTGGGCAGCAGTGTGGGCTAGGTAGTTTATGTGGCCTTCCAGGGAACATAACCACCACTGATTACCTTATTTCTCTGTGACATTGGGTGCCAAAGTTCAAATCACAAATGACTTTTTTTTTTTTAAAGATTTATTTATGCATACTAGAACTGGGGTACAGGCCAGATGTGCGGGGGAGGGGGGTGAAAGGATTCACCAGAGACAGAGCAGGGAACAGAACATGCAGACTGACTGAAATACACTGCTGAGGTGAGCAGTGGGTGAGACAGGAGAGGTCTGCTGCGCCATTTGGGTCACCTCCCTGGCCAGGGATCGAAGTCTGTGCTGCAGTGGCTGCGGACAGCTTCATAGGTTGCGTCTTAACCCCTTGCACCACCAGGGAGGCCCCACAAATGACTTTTTGAATGCATCTTCTTCCTAAATCGAGAACTGCCTTTAAGTTACTGGATCTGTTTGGATTTCAGGAGCGGGAGGATCATCCCAGAAGAGGACGGGAGGATCGGCAGCACCGTGAGTCATCTGGACAGGAACACCGGCGAGCTAGGAACAGTGACCGAGATAGACACCGGGGCCATTCCCACCAGAGGAGAACCTCTAATGAGAGGCCTGAGAGTGGGCAGGCTCAAGGCCGGGATCGAGACAGTCAGAACCTGCAGACTCAGGAAGCAGAGCGGGAGTTTTATAATGCCCGGCGAAGAGAGCATCGCCAGAAGAATGAAGTTAGTGCCGGTGCTAATGAGTCTCAGGAGTTGGCTCCTCGACCTGGCAGCAACAATAAAGACAAAGAGGTGCCTGTTAAAGAAAAACCAAGCTTCGAACTTTCTGGAGCACTTCTTGAGGACACCAACACCTTCCGGGGTGTAGTCATTAAATATAGTGAGCCCCCAGAAGCACGGATCCCAAAAAAACGGTGGCGTCTCTACCCCTTTAAAAATGATGAAGTGCTTCCAGTCATGTACATTCATAGACAGAGCGCTTACCTCCTGGGTCGACATCGCCGAATTGCGGACATTCCCATTGATCATCCCTCTTGTTCAAAGCAGCACGCCGTCTTTCAGTATCGGTAAGTCTACATTGGCAGAAGGAAACTGAAGTGTCAACACAAGCTGACTGTCTAGGGATCACTGAGATTTGTGTCATGTATGTGCACAAGAATCCCTTGTATCTAATATTCATCCTAACTACACTTTGAACACTTGCTGACATTTACATAAAAGCATTGAACTTGGTGTAAGAAATTTAGGTTTTGCATCTTGCCACTACTACTTTCCAGGCCGTTCTCTGGGCCTGTTACCACCCTGCCTCACAGGGCTAGCAATTACGAGAACCAAATGGTACTGTAAAGGAGAATGCCTGGCATGTCTGTCAGCTGAATCTGTCTTCACATTTTGATCTGTTGTTTAATGCTCACAGCACTCCTGTGAGGAGGATAGGACAGTTACTAATATCCTCACTTGACAGATGAGAAGACTGAAGCTCAGCAAAGGCAAGTGACTTGCCTAATAAATTATCACCATGGTCCAACTCTGGCTCAGATCAAGCTCCCCTGACTACTTCCTTCCCTGTGGGACAGGAACTAAAATGTGTTGCGATATAAGTGAAAAAAGCATTATGTCATAAACAATGCAGAAATCTGTTTTATTAACCATGACAGAAAGTCTTGGATTTATTTGTTTATTTATTTATTTATACATACAAGAACCAGGGTACAGGCCAGATGTGCGGGAGGGTGAGAGGATTCACCAGAGACAGAGCTGGGAACAGAACAGGCAGACAGACCAAAGACACTGCTGAGGGGAGCAGCGAGTGAGACAGGAGAGACCTGCTGTGCCATGTGGGTATCTCCCCGGCCAGCTGGCTGGGATCGAACTGGCGCTGCAGAGGCTACGGACAGCTTCACAGTGCTGCGCTCAACCGCCTGCGCCACCAGGGAGGCCCAAGCCTTGGATTTAAATAGCTTTTGATCTACCTTGAATTTCCTTTTCCCATCCCAGTAGCAACCAGTTTTCCCTTTTTTACTAAATGTGTGTTTAAACTAGTCCAAGTTTCTAGATTTGTTCTAGATCTAGGGCCATGTTCCTCTTGATTTTCTGCAGTTTGTACTTGAACTGTGTTTGCACCAGCTTATATATGTCATTTAGGCTGCAAAGAGCTGGATGATCTAAGGTAGGATTTTGCTCACAGGTTTCTCTTTATCTCTGCCAGGCTTGTGGAATACACCCGTGCAGATGGGACAGTTGGCCGCAGGGTAAAGCCGTACATCATCGATCTTGGCTCAGGCAATGGGACATTCTTGAACAACAAGCGCATTGAGCCTCAGAGATACTATGAACTGAAAGAAAAGGATGTACTTAAGTTTGGGTTCAGCAGCAGAGAATATGTTCTGCTTCATGAATCCTCTGACACCTCTGAAGTGGACAGGAAAGAAGATGAGGATGACGAGGAGGAGGAGGAAGTATCTGACAGCTAGCAAACTAAGAAACCACCCAAACTCTTGAGACCTTTTCTTCAGAGGCTTTGGGATTAACTCAGGGAGCACTGCGGTGCTCTCTGTAATGCCTCTTATTGCCTTAAGTCTTTGTTGCTGACCAGCTTATGTTACAGTGTAAGAACACTGACTTCTCTTTGGTTGGACTTTTTCCTGTGGCACATCAGCCACCTGCCTGTGGGCATTTGTTTTCAGAACAGTTTCACCAACACATCGTTTTTAGTAGAAGCGTTGTGGCTTTAGTTGGTGCTTTAAAAACTGCTGCCTAGGAAACTCTAACCCCTTGGTTAGGGGAGAATCGTGGCTTGTTCTCTTTGTACAGTTATTTATATAGTTGGTAAGCTTTGTGGACCGGGTTTTTGTTTTGAGGGCAATCCCCAAAACAGATTCTTACTATGCTTTGGTTAACACCAAAACAGCCTCCACTGTATACCAAAACTTTGACCTGGTTGAGCTCTTGAGTCATAGAAGTTGATTTTGCACTTCATCTTTGGGGGTTGGGAATTTACCACATGACCTCACTATTGACTGTTGGACTTACACAGATGCTTTGTGGAGCCTGCTTAAGCACTTGACCGTACATGGCTGCTGCCAGTGGGTGCTGGGTGAGTGTCACAAAAGGCTGAAAGGGGTCATGGATCTGTTTCCTGGGAGAGAATTCTGATTTCTCCATGGAACATGTACATAACAATTTGGATCATTTTATCTGTTCTTCAACTTTGCATTTTTATTCAAACATTATTCTTTTTTCCTTTGAGAAACATGGTCATTTTTGTGTCAGGGTCCTTGCTTTATTCTAACAATATGTGTATCTGTCTAAAGGAGGTTGTGTAGTTTACATGTTTCATCTTTTTAAACAAAGTTCAGATAGGTGGTATTTCCATTCCCAAGGCTGGAAAGCATGGGGATTGCCCAGTTTTCTAATTTTCCACAGAGGAATATATGTAAGTAGAAAAGGCATAACTACTTACATATATATATATTGTGTGTGTGTACATATATATATATAAACTTGTGTGTGAAAGCTGCATTCTGATTTTCATATGAGAATGTTTTGTGATGTAAATGTAATACTGCATTAAGGCAAAGGCCTCCCTGCATTTGACGAGCAGGTGTTCATTTATATGTAATTTTGGGATAAAAAATAATAAAATTTGTAAATATAGCCCCATTTCAAAGGGTAATACTTTCCTAGCAGACAGGACCTTGTGTCAGTAGGTCTATTTGTTGCTAATGGAATCTTTGTATCAGTATTCTTGAGGTAAAAACAGGTAGTTGTGGAGGGTGTGATGGGGCGAGAGGAGGAGACAGTAAACAGGAATAAGATCTGGCATCCAGATCTCCAAATCTTGGCAAGAGAATGTTGGTCCTGTTGAAGCAGCAGCTCCAGTTTTCTGAATTGGTGGTGCAGGGGTTTTCCTCCCCAGCATAGTTACCCACAGTGGGGTGCACACTATTCATCCTGCCTGCCTGTCTATGCCTTTCTACCTGAGGTGTTGATGGGCTGGCCTGGGAGCTGGGAGAGATGGTGCAGCTCAGTCAGTGCCACTTGGACTGAAACTTAATGGTCCTGTTAGATTGTCTTTTCCATTCAGGTCTCACATGCCTGCATTTATTTACTCAGGGCTGAATGTTGACTTGTGTGGGTAGGGACAGCTGCCTAAGGTTTACTCAAAAGAAATGAAAAGATCTCTTGGAAGTGAAAACACTTGATAAGGTCAATTCATTGAAAAGTAAGATGAGGAGAAGCTACAACGATTGGTACCCTGCTCCCAAAATAGTCTACCTTAGTCCTTAGGACTGCTGTTTTCCTAATTTTGTCACGTGTTTCGTATGTGCATGTCTAAAGGTTCTGTTTTGATGAGTTTTTCTCTTGAGCCAAACTGTTGGTTTTCTATTTCTGGGGTTGGGCACTAATCTGGCATCTCTCTCCAGGGCCTCCTTGTTCAGTTTGTGCCACCACTACTGCTCCCTGGTAGACTTGGGCTTTGCTTCAAACACCATCCTTATGGCCACAATGGTAGATGACCACTTTGCCTTCATTTCTCAATAAGAGATCCTAATTGTGTATTATGTTCGCTTTAGTAGAGGAATAGCTTTCTGGGTTATGACATTCTTCATGCCAGGCATAAGGGAAGGTGTTCACCCTACCATTTTGGTTTTTGTTTTCCCCCCAAAAGAAAGAGGGTCAAAGACAAGACAATACCCACCTCCATGCCAGATATCACCAGCTGGTTACTAACTTGAAGTTAACATAAGGTAAATGCTTTTTTCTTGAAGTAATTCATTAAATAACTCATGTTCATCTTAGCTCTGCAATTTTTTTCATTACCCATCTTCTCCCCGGCTGGCTTGTCTGGAAATGAAGCTGTTTATGAAACAGCCCTTTGCTTCTGACTTCCTCCCAAGTCCTCTGGTGGTCTACAGTTCTGCTGAGGTCTGGGACAGAATCATCAGATTTTCCCTAACTTGCCTCCTCTAGTCATCCTTAGTTCCCTCACTCTCACAGCAACAAAGGATAGTCCATTGAGTGCGGCTGATGATGTAACTTGGAAATACACTGTATCTTGGTGATAAGCAAAAGCAGAGCAATACAGATAACTGAAAAAAATTTTTAATTTTGTATTATTTTATTGAGACTACCAGTCTACAATATCACTTGGTTTTAAAGACTTAAAATTTAAATCTATATTTCAGGTTTATTATTTGGTATGGTGCACGGATGGTTATTTACTTTTTTTTTTTAACATCCTTCCCTTTGAGGAATTGATGTCGTGATGTGAGGAACGAAGTGATGTCCTGTTAGTCAGAACCTCAGTGTGACACACGAACAATATGCCAGCATTGTGAGAATTTACTGAGTCCACCATGTCCCTGGGCATGTGAGTTTATATAAGTGAAAAGTCTACTTAATTGAAATTAAAGTTGGAGAATTTAAAGCTTCATTTGGTCTCTTGGGTAAAGTTTTTAGCATACTTGTTAAATGGGAGGATCAAAGAAAATTCAGAAGAAATATGAGGAAAGGGAACAAATGCCAAAATCAGCAGTCTCTGGAGGAGCAGTTCAGTGGGGTGAGCTTGCACGCATCGCTTCCAGACCAGGTCAATGTGGCCAAGCAGCAGGTGGCTATGTGCTCGAGGGCAAGGGGCTGGAGTTTTATCTGTGGAAAAGCAAGGCCCAGAAAGGCAAATAAATCGTCCCTCCTTTCATGTAATAGAGGTCTTTATTCTTTGGGAAAAACATTTTTTTAAGACAGTTAATTTGTTGATATTTATTCTAAAGTAAAAGTAATTCCAGTCAGTGGTTGCATAAGTTTGCTATGTTAGCAACTAATTTACAAGTGTGAGTTAGAAATAAAGGAGCAGTAATTTGGAGGTAGGCTGTACTGTGGGCAAAAGATGGCGTTTGAGGTATGCCTTAGGGAATAGGTCGATTTTGAACCAGAATAGAGGACGTTGTGCTGACGCAGCATCCAAGGGACAACATGACTAGAGTGGAGTATGTGGATAGAACCCTGTGAAATTAAGGTATTTACCTGAAGTCCCACAGCAAGTCAGTGGTAGAGCTAGGAAGAGAAATCATCTCAGTCCGGTGTAGGGTCTTTCTTCTGGATTGTTCTTCTCACCTGCCCTACCCCAACCAATGCCCCCCCTTTCCCCACCCAAGCAGGGTTTAATGGAGAGATTTGAGGAAGTAAAAAGCTCATTAGGCTGCTTGATTCATAAGGGTTCAATGAAATCACTGTGGATGGCATTTTCGGGGATAGAGAATGGCTCAGGCAAATCCTCACCTCCCCAAGTCATAGCCAGAGCTACTTGGAAATCATGTTAAGTCATGAAAACAGACAAATACTCAATAACTGGGTGCCTACAAAATGCCATTAACTGAGACCTCAGTAAAAAAAAAACTGGCCAATACTTCGCAATATTGACTACAAGGCACAGTTATAAGCATTTCACATGCACACTAATGCATACCTGAATTTATTCCATCCTCGTAACTATGAGGTGGGCATCTACTAGTCCATTTTGCGGGTTCAAAAACACAGATTAAGGTCACAGTGGTAGGCAGGACCAGATTCAAACCAATTCTGGTCACTGTTTCAGATGGCACACTGCGCTATACTCCACTTGCAATGGTGAGCTACATCATGTACAATGTACCCCTTGCAGAACAACATATACTGCAGCCTCAAACTGCTAGATAGGAGAAGCATTGGCAATAGGATTTAACAAAGATTTGGGAGTCAGGTAAGAATAGCCAGTTAACCAAAAGAGGCCAGTGTGGATGAGGAAAGAAAGGACTATTTCTAGGCTGAAAGACTAGCATTCAAAAATGCCCAAAGTAATAAGCTACTGAGGCTTTGGAAGCATTTGAAGTTCCGAAAGTGTACATCGGATGTTTGGTTTCTGATAATGATGGACTAAGTTAATTTTCTGCACTTCCCTGCCAAAATAAAGGTAAGACTTTTGCGTAAAATATAAGCCCCCCCAGCAAAAGTTCTCATAGACCCAGAATTGACACCAAGAAAAGTTATTAGGCCCAAAGTGAAGGTGAATGAGAATCCAGAGAGAAATACAGCAAAGATACCTACAAACCACATTTGATCTATATAGGCAAACCATATTTCATTCTAGCAAAGCAGACCTCACCTTAGGTTGAATGAGGCAGAAATCAAAATCCAAAGCCTACGTCCTACTCTAATAAAAAAATTTCCCCACAAAAACAAAATCGCTGGCATGCCAAAAGGACTACACCCTTAGGATAAAAGAGTGGATCTGAAATTGAATCCTCCTGGGGATTCATAGTCTGGAAATGTGTGAATCAGGAAATCTTAAGCCTTGAACTTTGTTTAAATGACCCTGCACTATCAGTGCCTCCAGGTGTCTGATAGAAATAAATGAAAACTCTTTGGAAGAAAGGATTTCTTTCTCTCCCATCTAGTTATTTCCACACACCCCCACACCCACCCCCCTGCCTCGAGATATTTTTTATAAAGCACACAAGAAAAGGCACTGTAGGTGAGAAATAACAGATATAACAAAACAGAAACTGATTCTTAAAAGACGTGAATTACGAGAGACTTGAAGATGATTATGATTACTGTTTTCAAAGAAATAAATGACAAACTTGCCATAACCACAGGAATGAGAGATGGCAACAAATGAAATGACAATTCTTTCAGAAGCCAAGTAGAACTTTCAGAAATGAAAAATTCAATAACTGTAAACCCATTAGTGGATGTCCTTTAACAGAAACTTCAGGGAAAATTAGCAAAATGGAAAACAGGTCAAAAGAAATTCTTGGACCTCCCTGGTGGCCTAGGGGTTGTCTCAGTGCTATCACCTGAGTTCGATCCCTGGCCAGGGAGCTAACCCACATGACACAATAGACCTGTCTCACCTGCTGCTCCCCTTAGCAGTGTATTTCAGTGAATCCACCTGTTCTATTCCCCACTCTGCCTCTGGTGGATCCTCTCACCTCCTACACCTCTGGCCTACATGGCAGTTCTTCTATGCAAAAATAAATTAAAAAAAAAATTCTTATACATAAAGTTAACAACTTAGATGAAGTGGACCAATTCTTCAAAAACCATGAAATAGATCATCTGAATAGCCCTACAACTATTAAAGGGATTGAGTTTGTAATTTAAAAATTGTTGAAATATCCAGGCCCAGATGGCAATGATTTCATTGAAAAATTCTAGCAAATATTTCAAGAATTGGCTCCATTTTATATCATCTCTTCCAAAAATTAAAAAAGTAGAACATCACCCAACTCATTTTATGAGGCCAATATTACTTTGATACCAAAACCAGATGGGACAGTATGAAGGAACAAAAAAGAAGAAAAGAAACTGCAGATCAATATTCTGTGAACTTAGCTGCAAAATCTTCAATAAAATATTAGCAAGTTGAATCCAGCAATATATAAAAAGAATTATATAACATGACCAAGTGGAGTTTATTTAAGACATGCAAGGCTAGTTCAGCATTTGAAAATGAGTCCAGGTAATACACTATATCAGGATGCTAGGGAAGAAAAACTTTCTATGATCATGTCAACTGATGTAGGAAAAACATTTGACACAATTAAACTCCCATTTATGATAAAAACTCCCTAAATCAGAAAGAGGGGAACATCCTCAACTTGATGTCTTCAAAGAACATCTACAAAAAACCTAGCTAATTCTACTTAGTGATGAAAAACAATCCTTTCCTCCTAAGATAGGGGACAAGTCAGGATTCCCCTCTGAACTTTTACTCAAGATAGTACTGGAAGTCCTAGCCCAAATAGTAAAGAAAGTTAAAGAAAATTATAGGCATAAAGATAGGAAAGGGGAAAGTATCCTCCCTTACTTGCAGATGAAATGATTGAAATGGTAAAAATCCTAAGGAATCTACAAAAGCCTACTAGAAATAAGGGAATTTTGCAAGATCCCAGGTTAAAAGATCAATACACAAAAGAAATTAATCAAAATGCAGCACAGAGGGAAAAAGATGGGGGAAAGAGGGTTAGAAGAACAAATAATTCTCATGTTTAATCTGAGTTCCAGAATTAGAAAAGGAGGCAGAGGCACATTTAAAGAAAAATAACTGAGACTTTCCCGGAACTGGTTAAAGATTCCAATCTGCAGATGAGAGAAACCCAAAGACTTCTGAGCAAAGGAGAGAGGAGAAAAGGGAAGGAGGGAGGAAGGAAAATGACAAAAACGAAAATCCCATCAAGATTCATGAGTGTGAAATTGTAGAATTCTGAAAAATGGGGTGAGCTGACGCTGGAGAAGGGGAGGGGATGGGTTAAGTGAAAACAAAGTTAGAGATACTGGACTGAACGATACTACTTATAAATGGCTATGAGTTGGCAAGACCCCTTGCATGTTAAGTGATGGACTCCTCTCAGCAGTTGTATGAGAGAGGTAACACCTCCACTTGACAGATGGGGAAGTTGAGAGGAGTGAAATTCAGTTAATTGCAGTTTGTTAGCCGCGGGGGTAGGATTTTAAGCAAGGTAGCTCGGCTCCAGCTTGTGTCCACAATATTTACTGTCTCGCTAAAGGGCACTGGGAAGCCCTTGAAAGGTTTTGCCTAGGGAGAGACACCACATTTGTCTTCCAAAAACAACTCACCCTGGCTCCAAGGACGGAGAGTGTATGAATTGGAACTGAGGGTGAAAATGGAAGGCTGCTGGAAAATGTAGCCCCAAACAGGGAGGCCTAGAAAAACCAAGGACATGGCAGACAAAAGCAAATGGACCGGCGGGCTCCGAGTCCTTGAGTCCAAGCCCTGATTCATGAAGGGATACCTCGTTTCTGACCCGGGCAATGCGGTGGACTGTTGAGTCACTCAACCAGGTGACCCCGTCACACAGACACTCAGAGCCTCCGCTGGGACACGGTGACTGCGGCGTCTGCAAAGTCCAGCCACCCACCTGCGGGAGGGAGGTGGCGAGGACCACCCGCCCCGCCCTGACCGCCCCCGCCCCTCCTAGCCCCGCCCCGCCCCGCCCCGCCCCGCCCCTCCCCCGCGGTCCTGCCGCAAGGCGCGCGAACCCCGCGCCCAGAGCGCCGCGCGAGGCGCGTCTCCGTCAGCCGGCGCGCAGGCGCAGTGCGGCGGGCGCCCCCTGGCGGGCGGCGGCGCGCAGGGCCCGCCCCCAGCCTGGCGCCGCCGCCCGCCTCAGCCCAACATGGCGATGCACAACAAGGCAGCACCGCCGCAGATCCCCGACACCCGGCGGGAGCTGGCGGAGCTCGTGAAGCGGAAGCAGGAGCTGGCGGTGAGGGGCTGGCCCGGGTGGGGCCCCGCGCCGGCCCCCGCCTCCGGGCCCTGGCTCGGCCGCGCCAGGCCGTTACTCCGCGGGCGCAGCGCGGCGGCCGGGAGCCCGGCGGCCTGAGGCTGGGCTGCGCGCTCCGCCGGCGCCGCGGCTTCCTGGCTGAGAGGATCCGGATCCCGGGGGCGGGGCGCGGGGCCGCGGAGGGGGAGGGGCGGGGCGGGGGCGTGGGGCAAGGTCGGCGCCCTGGGGCGCGGGGCTGCGGGCCGGGGGCTCTGGGGGGCGAGTGTCCGTGGCCCCGCGGGCTGGGCGGGTCGTGTGCTCGGCCTCTGAGGGCTGGTGAGTGCGGCGGCTCGGGCGCTGAGGGGCTGAGTGGGCGTGTTGGTGACCTGTGGGAGAGGAGTGCAGACCCGCGGGTGGGGGTTAGGAGGCGGGGGGGGAGGGCGACCCGTCGGGGCTTTGGAGGGCGGAGGGGCGCTTGTCTTTTGGGGGACTGGGAGTAGCGATCTGTTGAATGGGGTTTTTGATGGGCAGAGGTGTGAGATGTTGGCGAGCTTGCAGAGGGGACGGGCAAGGGGAGAGGACTCGGAGTTATGATCGTGACGTGCACTCAGAGGCCCACGTACCCTGGTGGCTACACCTCCCTCCCGCCGCGTTTCGGCCTAGGCACCCGAGAGGCCCATCTCACCTGAAGCTGCCCTTCCAGGTTTCCATAGCAACTGGCTGGCGGGCTTTCTGAGCCTGCAGGGAGGGGAGGGGAGCCAGCTGCGCGGCAAGGCTGCTCTTCCCCTCTCCCCACTGGCGAATCTTTTATGCGTGGGAGAGGAGACTGCTCACGTTCTGCCTCAGCCAGGGTTGTTGACAACTGAATTTCCAGAAACCCTCTGAAATATGTGCACAATTTTACACATTTCTGGAGACAGGCTTTATACGTTCCGTTGTGTTCTTGAAGGCATTCAACATGACAGGTTGTAGGCTGCTTAGTCTGAAACAACCTGCCCCTCCCCAAGTCACCCACCTCTCCACTAGGGTGGTTTTACTGTAATGAGCTTGAGTTTATAAGTCTAATGTCAAGATATCAGTTTGGCCACACTTACTGTTTGCATTTAAAAGGCATTACCCATTTCCTTGTTTCTCATCTCAGGAAACATTGGCAAACTTGGAGAGACAGATCTATGCTTTTGAAGGAAGCTACCTGGAAGATACTCAGATGTATGGCAATATTATTCGTGGCTGGGATCGGTATCTGACCAACCAAAAGTGAGTGTCAGAAGCCTGTAGTATTTGTATCATGCCTTAGCAATATTTGTTTCAGAACTATGTATGTTCTTGGTAGCAACTTTGCAGAGCAGCAGTGGTGGTATGGAAGGAGGGGCTTGAACTTCGATGTGGCATAGCTACTCCCTCACTGAGCAAACCTGGACAAATCCTGTATCTATAAAATGGAGAAAGTTGGTCTATGGCAGGGCTTATGTGAGGCTTCAATGAACGCAACATGTAACAATACCTTCCAGAGTGGCACTCCTAGTGTTTTCCACATTTAAATCAGCTGTGCGTTGCGGGGCAGTGTTTTCCATGCCCATGTACCAGCTGTACCACCATTTAGTAATATTATTCTTGAAAGCTCTCTGAAGTTTTTGAAAATTTTCAAAGTCTATAGAAAATTGAAAGAGCAGTGTGGTGAACGCTTGATCCCCTTCACCTTCATTCACTGGTTGTTAACATGTTGCCATATTTGCTTTCTCTCTTTTCTCTTTCTCTCTGATATATACACACACCTATATCCACACTTAATTTTTTTTTAAATTTTGAAATAATTATAGATACATAGGAAGTTGCAAGATAGAGACATCCCTGGTACCTTTCACCTATTTTTCCCCAGTGGTTGGGTTTTATGTAACTGTGATGCAGTATCAAAACTAGGAAATTGACATTGGTACAATGTGTATGTGTAGTTCTGTAATTTTATCGTTTGTGTAATCACCACTGCACTGAAGATACTATTCCAGAACTATTCCATCACCACATAGCTCTCCTTTATGCTACTCCTTTTTAGCTTCCCTCCCAGCCCTCTGTTTTCCAGACCAAATAAATATGATAGTGCCCCTAATCATGTCAGCTATTGCCTCCTGAGAATGAGAACATTTTTCTGGGGCCTTTTTGGTGGTGCAAAGGCTTAAGTCACAGCACTATGAAGCAATCCACAGCCACTGCAGCATGAGTTCGATCCCCAGCCGGCCAGGGGGTAACCCATATGGCACGGCAGACCTCTCCTGTCTTGCCCACTGCTGCCCTCAGCAGTGTATTTCAGTCAGTCCGCCTGTTCTGCTCCCCACTTTGTCTTTGGTGGATCCTCTCACCCCCTGCATCTCTGGCCTATACTCCAGTTCTTGTATGCATAAATAAATAAATCTTAAAAAAAAAAAAAGAACATTTTTCTGACCTAACCACAAGTGTCATGCTTAGATGATTAACACTGCATCAGTATTATCATCAAAAGTACCAAGGGGCCTCCCCAGTGGCGCAGCAGTTGAGCACTGGGTTGCAAAGCTGCCCGCAGCCTCTGCAGCGCCAGTTCGATCCCCAGCCACCTGGTGAGGGTCCCACATGGCTCGCAGACCTCTCCTGCCGCCTGCTGCTCCCCTCAGCAGTATATTTCATCAGTCTGTCTGTTCTGCTCCCTGCTCTGGCTCTGGTGAATTCTCTCACCCTCCTGTGCTTCTGACTATACCCAGTGCTTGTATAAATAAATAAATCTTTAAAAAAAAAAAAAAGTACCAAGTCTTTATTCAGATTTTGCTAATTGTCCCTTAAATGCTTTGTGACTTTACTTTGATCCAGTTGCCGTTCATGAATTGTATTTTGACTATAATGTCTCCTAATTTAGGAGAATCATTTTTTTTTTTTTTTTGGTAAAATGTCCTAATTCCAGATTTGTCTTTTTTTTTTAAAAGATTTATTTATGCATACAAGACCTGGGGTACAGGCCAGAGGTGGGGGGTGGGGTGAGAGGATTCACCTGAAATAGAGTGGGGAACTGAACAGGAGGATTGACTGAAATACGCTGCTAAGGGGAGCAGTGGGCGAGATAGGAGAGGTCTGCGCACCATGTGGGTTAGCTCCCTGCCTGGGGATTGAACTCTTGCTGCAGTGGCTGTGGATAGCTTCACAGTGCTGAGATTTAACCCCTTGTGCCACCAAGGAGGCCCCAATTCCAGATTTTTCTTACTGTGATCTCATGAGAGACCCTTTAAACATTTTTGACAAAAATGTTGCATAAGTGAGTAGTGACATCTTATTGATTACCTGTATTTTATCAGGAAGCATGTAATGTCAGACTCTCCTGTTACTGGTACTGCTAGGTTTGATCATGATTCTTTGCTGTAAAAGTTCATTTTTTCTTTTTGTAAATAACTTGGAGGTTATATTTTTAGACTGTGAATATACTACTTCCATTAAAGGCATTGTTCATTTCCTTGTTTCTCATTTTGCAGGATGATGAGAAAAATTCCATCAAATTTTTATTCAGTGATTTTAATATTCACTGTTGGCTCTTTTCTGAATCAGTTATTATATTTGAGATTGCAAAATGGTGATTCTCTATTCTTTTTGACACTTATTACTAGTATTTTGTCTTGTTTTTCAAAGATTTATTTATTTGTTTGTTTGTTTGTTTATTTATTTATTTGTACAAGCACTGGGTACATTCAGAAGCGCGGGAGGGTGAGAGAATTCACCAGAGCCAAAGCGGGGAGCAGGACAGGCAGAGTGATGAAGTACACTGCTGAGGGAAGCAGTGGGCGGCAGGAGAGGTCTGCGTGCCATGTGGGACCCTCACCCGGTGGCCGGGGATTGAACTGGCGCCGCAGAGGCTGCGGGCAGCTTCGCAGTCCAGTGCTCAACCGCTGCACCATCAGGGCAGGCCCTATTACTGGTATTTTGAAAGCAGAGACTTCTCCTTTTATCATTTTCCTCTTTCATATTCTCTCACTTTTTTTTTTTTTTTAAAGATTTATTTATTTATGCATACAAGACTCAGGTACAGGGAGTGAGAGGCCAGAGGTGCAGGGGGTGAGAGGATTTGCCAGAAACAGAGTGGGGCACAGAACAGGCAGAATGACTGAAATACAATGCTGAAGGGAGCAGCGGGCGAGACAGGAGAGGTCTGCTGTACCATGTGGGTTGCTCCCTGGCCGGCCGGGTATCGAACTGGAGCTGCAGTGGCTGTGGACAGCTTCATAGGTTGTGTTTTACCGCCTTGTGCCACCAAGGGGGCCTGCTCACTCTCTGTTTAGTATCACCATAGATTCATGGATTTAAAATAAGATCAGAGGGCCTCCCTGGCGGCGCAAGGGGTTAAGCACTGCACTGTGAAGCAATCCACAGCCTGTGCAGCATGAGTTCGATCCCCGGCCAGCCAGGGAGAAACCCACATGGTGAAGCAGACCTCTCTGTCTCGCCCACTGCTCCCCTCAGCAGTGTATTTCAGTCAGTCTGCCTGTTCTGCTCCCCACTCTTTCTCTGCTAGATCCTCTCACCCCCCGCATCTCTGGCCTATACCCCAGCTCTTGTATGCATAAATAAATAAATCTTAAAAAAAAAAGTAAAATAAGATCAGAGCCTCCTGGTGGCCTAGGGATTAAGTCTCAGTGCTACCACTGCTGTGGCCTGAGTTCGCTCCCTGCCCAGAGAGCTAACCCACATATGGTACAGCAGACCTCTCCTGTCTTGCCTGCTGCTCCCTTTTAGCGGTGTATTTCAGTAAATCCACCTGTTCTGCTTACCACTCTGGTGGATCCTCTCACCCCCTGCACCTCTGGCCCACATCTGAGTTTTTCTACACACACACACACACACACACACACAAAAAAAATAAAAATAAATCAATATTCAAAAAAAAATCAGTATGTTGGGATCTAGTACTGTCTGTCACTTATTGTTAAGGTTTATTTTTTAATATACATGTTTATTTAAATACGTTCATAGAAGGCCATAAGTATATAGCTCAGTGGTTTTTCACGAGGTAAACATACACACCATTATTCTTTTTAATGTTTAGTTTGCCCCAAATGTAGCCAGAGGTACCATCTTCAAGATGGTTCCTTTGTCTTTGCAACATGCCCTGCTAGTCTTTGAGTTTTCTATTACTAAGCCTTTCTTGTCCCAGCCCTAGTATCAGCCATATCTCTAAGGAACGCTAGTTCCTTCTTTATATTTTCAAATTTAAGTTTTATTTTTTAACAGAGACATTTCATATCACTAGTCTTTGCTAGTTGTTCTTAACAATAAACAAATCCATTTTACAATGAAAATGTGAACCAACTAAAGCAATTTCATGTACCACTGTGGGGCACATGCACGCCTTAGACAATATCGCCATCTCCATAGCCATTCAACTTAATGGTTGCTTTGGTGCAGCGGCATTCCTGTAGGAAAGTTGGTTAGAAGAAAGAGAGAGAGTGAATTCTTTATATCTGCCCTGGGCATCCTCAACTTGAGACGTTGGTGTAGCTTGGGGTTTAGAATAAATTTCTTCTGTATATTTTAGAAACTCCAATAGCAAAAACGATCGAAGGAACCGGAAGTTTAAGGAAGCTGAGCGCCTCTTCAGTAAATCCTCAGTTACATCAGCAGCTGTAAGTCTTGAGTGGGGGGACTCTTTCTATGGCCCATTGTTGAGGAAGACCTCAGTGAAATTTCTGTGAGTTTTCCTTTTTCCTTCTGTCTGTGGATGAGTTTTCTTTTCCCCTTTTGTCTGTAAGTGCTTTCCTAAGGTCTGTGATAATTTTTCTAGTAACTTGTGTTTTTATTTTTCTTTTAGGCAGTAAGTGCATTGGCAGGAGTTCAGGACCAGCTCATTGAAAAGAGTAAGTTTATTTTTATTTTTTACTTTTTTCATGAGCTTATTGTTAAACTGTCATTGTTCCTGTATTTAACTCCTCTCCAACTGTTTCTGAACACTGTATCTATTATATGCTTGCCCCTTCTTTTTAAAAATTAGGATCCCTTTGGGTTGTTGTTATGTCTTTCTTTTGAGGAAAAATCTCCCATGCCCTTCCTCCTCCTTTGTCATGTGATGACCGACTTTTAATTGTTCAAAGACAAAGAGGTATGTCTTCACTATTGATAAGTTTCCTAGGGGACTTTTTCTTTTTTTTAGTTAAAAACCTGTTATTGTGGGAAACTTCTGACATATTTAATAATCCTCATATAACCAATTTAAGAATTTTAGGAAAATCTGATCCTGTGAACAGAATGTACCTGTGTGTTCTTAAATATGTAATAGGTATTGTAAATAGTATTTACTTTGTAGAAAATTGTATCATTCTCTGTTTGAAGACAGTCTATCTCTCCTGGTGGGATAGCTCTCTTAGGTGATGTAATACTACTGGGAGCTCTGCTGTGCATCTGGTCACTTGGAAATACAGCCTGCTTTTTGTATTGTGGCTGTGTGCTGCTTTCAGGTGGTATATGTTGTGGGGTCCAGTTGTTTTATTGGCATTGGGGAAATAGTGAAAGGAAAAGGTTTTTGGTAGTTTGTGAATTAAAACTACTCAGTGTAATTTCAATTACCTCGTCTGTGATTTCCTAATTTCTATCTTTGTCCCTAACCCCTTTCCTGAGCCCTAGTCATGCATATCTGGAAAATATCTTCTACACATTTTTACTCAAATGTTCAGACTCAAACATTTTGTCTAAACTGAACTGTTCTATTTTCTTCAAAACTTGTCTACCCCAGTTTTATGTGATAGTACTCTGTTATCCTTCATTTAAAGCTCTGTAGGCGTCTTTGATTCCTTTCTGCCAGCCTAATCAGTTGTACCGTATTGTTTTGATTTTTCTTTAGCTATGACTGTCTTATTTCTTGTAAGTTAAATCTTATTTCTTTTCAATTAATGCCCCCTCTAGAATGTGGAGCTGTTATCATTTGCTTTCTGGAGTAAACCAGACATTTCCTCGTGGTCTAGGGGTTAGAATTTGGTGTTTGGTAGAGTAAACCAGACTGGTTAAGACACATTTGAACCTCACTTCTATGAGTTGAGATGGAACATTGTCTGACTTCTCAGTTTTCTCAGGCTTAGTGGATAATTCCTACTCTTGGCTTCATAGTTAGTTCAGCATATGGCTAGGTACTTAAATATCCATGCAGAATAACTTCATCTGGGTACTTGTCAGGAAAAGACTTTTAAAGCTGCTGATTTCAGAAGCTTTTCTGAGACAGACCCTTTCTTATTAAAGATTTTCTGACGCATACACAGGCCATCCTTTCTGCTAAGATCTTCCCCTTGGATTGAACCTAGCCTCTGGAATACATCATGTTAGTTGTTAGTACTTGGTCTTTCTGTAAAGTTGTATTTGATCCTATTAAATGTGTCACTATTAATTGTCAGAAGATGTTGCAAATGTTGCTTATTGTGATTGCTAATTATATTTCCTGTAGAAATAGTTGTTTTTCCTGAACAATAAATTGATTTTTACTGAAAATTTTTTACTATTTCCTTCTTTGTATGGGTGCTAAAATGTTTAAAGCAAATTTGTGGTTCCCCTCTAGAGAGCAAATAGGAATTTATAGCATGCATTTTGGGAATTAGTACTGCATCCAGCTTACTTTACTCTTCTCTATTTTTTTGTTTTTACTTAATCTCATTTTAAATTTATTTTATTGGATTTCATATATAAATCTTGGTAAGCTGCCTTGAACTTTTGTAATAAAGCAGAGTATGCAGAATTATATCAATACTGGAGTATATTAATTCAAATGGTCAGAACCCCTTTAAAGTAATCCTGTGGCATTATCTCTTACTACCTCCATCATTACCACTTCCCACTGCTGTATTTTAAGATCTTATTTTCATCTTGATATTGTGCAGTTAATTACAATGTGTCTAAGTATGAATTTATTTTTATTTATGTGGATTGGATTTAGTTGGACTTTTTGAAACTGTGGTTTGGTATTTCGTATCAGTTCTGGGAAATTCCCAGTCTAGTGGCTCTTCAAATACTACATTTGCTCCATGCTTTCTCTCCTCTCCTGATATTTTGGTTAAATGTACAGTAAGGCTTCTCATTTTATCCTTTATGTCTTTTATTATCTCTCTGTCTTTTTGTCTCTGTGTTGCCTACTAATTTACTAATTCTCTTTTCAGTTCAGTCTTTCTTGTTGTTAAACCTTCTCTTGGTTTTAAAATCTTTCGTTATTACATTTTAAATTTCCAGAAATTCTACTTGTTTGTAAAATCTCTGGTAGATTTTAGATAGTTTTTCAGTAGCTTTCTATGCTATTATTTTTGAACTTGTCTTTTACTTCTTTAAGCAGAATAAATATGGTTTTCTGTAGTCTGTTTGACTTCCATATCTGAAGTCTTTCAGGACAGGTTTCTGCTGGTTAGTACTAATGAACTTTTCATTTCCCCGTGTGTTTGATTATCTTCAGCTATATACTGTTCATTGTAGTTTAAAGTATTGTGGAATAATTTGAGGGCAAAAATGAGGGTGCCATCTTCCAGAGAAGACTTATGTTGACTTTTGGTAGGTGATTGAACCTCTTTAAGCTAAGATCAAGATTTGAGTGTTCCTGAAAGACCCAGGCAATTCAAACCAAGCTTTAATTCCACGAGAGAATTGTTCTCCTCGGCCTTTCACTCCTTTTCCTCTGTATAAAAATCTCTCCAATGTCTCAGGATTTCTTTACTATAAATCTTGTGGAATGACTTCTTGTTTTTGGATCTCTGATAGCAATGAAGTAAAAATTATTTTAGCAGTTTGACTTGCATATTCTTAGATCTCAAGGATTTTGAAGTTTTGCACTTTGGGCAATTTATTTTCAAACCATTCTTAACATTTTTCTGAAAAATGCAGTACGTTGTGCTTGCTTAGGCTTTATACATATCCAGACTATAACCATAAAGTGGATTAGTGTGGTGCCCAAAGGGAAATTTTATGCAAATTAGTGAAACATTATATATTTTTATAAAAAGAATAAAGAAAAGAAAAACACAACAGGCAGATTTTATCTAGTTTCCTTTCAAGGATCAGCACATTCTCTACTGTTTGCTTTACCGGACTTGTCTGAAGCTTTCAACAAGCCAGATCTCTCTTCAGCACTGATGCCATCTCGTTGGTAAGTACACAGCTGCATGAAGCGTGGTGCTAGATATCTTCCTTTCCTCCTCTAAACTATTTGTGCTGATCACAAGTTATTGCCTTGGCACTATCTTTAATAGCTATTTCTTCCTTTTAATAAGCAGAGTGTCTTATTTGTAGATTTAGTAAATTTAATCAAAGCCAACATTCTTTGCTCTAAAAGTACACTGCTCCCTTTTTTATTTTTATTTTTTATTTTATTTTTAAAGATTGATTTATTTATTTTTATACAAGAACCAGGGTATAGGCCAGATATGTGGGAGGGTGAGAGGATTCACCAGAGACAGAATGGGGAACAGAACAGGCAGACTGACGAAATACACTGCTGAGGGGAACAGCGGGCGAGACAGGAGAGGTCTGCTTTGCCATATGGAATTCTCACCAGCTGGCCGGGATTGAACCTGCGCTGCAGAGGCTGCGGAGAGCTTCACAGTGTGGCGCTCAACCACTTGCGCCACCAGGGAGGCCCCTCCCTTTTTTATTTTTTAAGAAATTTTTTAAAAAGATTTTATTTATTTTTGCATAGAAGAACTGGGGTATAGGCCAGAGGTGGGGGGGGGGGTGAGAGGATCCACCAGAAACAGAGTGGGGAGCAGAATAGGTGGATTTACTGAAATATACTGTTGAGGGGAGCAGTGGGTGAGACAGGAGAGGTCTGTTGCGCCATGTGGGTTAGCCCCTGGCCAGGGATCGAACTCAGGCCTTAGAGCTGATAATGCTGAGACTTAACCCCTAGGCCACCAGGGAGGCCCCAAAATGCACTGCTCATTTTAATGTCAGTGGGAAACAAATTTCTGTGTCTTTCCATCATGGGATCATGGGTTTGACTAATTGGCTGCTGCTCTTGGAGATGTAGTGACTTACCCTTTCAGCCATCGCTCCTTTTTCCTTCCATGAGCCAAGGAATAAAATTACTTCTTTGTGATCTCACTTTATATTTTATTTATTCATTTATTTTTTTAAAGATTTATTTATTTTTATACAAGAGCTGCAGAGGCGTGGGAGGTTGAGAGGATTTACCAGAGACAGAGCGGGGAGCAGAACAGGCAGATTGACTGAAATACACTGCTGAGGGAAGCAGTGGTCGCAACAGGAGAGGTCTGCCACTCCATGTGGGAATCTCCCTGGCTGGCTGGAAATCAAACCCAGCTTCACAGCGCAGTGCTCAACCTGCTGCGCCACTGGGGAGGCCCTCACTTTATATTTTAGCAATATTTAATCTAGTCTCCCTGGGTCCAGTTCTTATCATTTTAGTCTAATAATCCTAAACCAGGTTTATGCAGAGGACTCAGTTCATTGTTTGATGTCACTTCTCTGTTCAGAAATTTCTAATAACTTCACCTTGTTATGACCTGCCAAATACTGTTTTACTGCAAATAGTCTTTACTCTTTGTTTAGAATTCAACGTGCATTTTTTGTGAACCTCAGTGATCAGGATAACGCTATGCCCCAGATACTTTACTTGCATTCTTTCATTTAATCTTTTGTTTTTTTTTTTTTAAGATATATTTATTTATTTGTTTGTTTGTTTGTTTATACAAGCACTGGGTACAGTCAGAAGTGCGGGAGGGTGAGAGAATTCACCAGAGCCAGAGCGGAAAGCAGAACAGGCAGAGTGAGGAAGTAACTGCTGAGGGGAGCAGCGGGTGGCAGGAGAGGTCTGCGCGCCATGTGGGACCCTCGCCCGGCGGCCGGCGATTGAACTGGCGCTGCAGAGGCTGCG